GTGGTGTCCGACCGCTCGTAACACGTTGTGTCACTTACAGCTGCTCTCTGCAATGTACCTGCGTGTCAGCATTGCAACATGTGACAACATCACCATTCAGAAAAGGCCCATCTGTCTTTAAACAAACAAAATTACACCATGACAATAGCTGCATTGTCACAGACAGATTGTGACACGCAAAACATTGCGTCTTCAGGGAAGTAAATGAACCATTTCCCGGCAGGCTGACCGTCACACGTCACTGTCTTATTAATATAAAGTGTAAAAGGTTTTCTATTGTATTCTGATCAGTGGTTAGTTGTGGGTGAGCATGTGTGTTTGCAGTACATGTGGCTTTAATACCTCCGCAGTAGATTAGTGATCAACAGTCAGTGGTGCAACGGTCTCAGGGGGACATGCTGTGCTGTTCTCGACTGTTACTCCAGCTTTCCCTCTCAGGCTTGCACAACAAGAGCACTGTTGAACTCTAAAGCTTCAACGCCAATCCTTGGACGCATTATAAGGATGCTTCAACATCAAATCTCTCTAAAGGACTTTTCCAAGTGTACAGAGAAAGAGTCCTTCTTTCGGAGAGGAACTTTGGTGCTCTTAAAAACCCCACAATCCCAAACAGGCAATTTCTTCAGCTTGGGTGGGATCAGGCGAGAGTTCCAATCCTGTTCACATATTCCATATTTGATATACAAGGCTTCATGTGAAAGGTTGTTAACTGAGCTGCAGCACTGAGGCTCACAGACAGAAACAGATTCAGCATGTTCACCTCTAACTGTGTAAATGAAGGCTCTGTTTTTCAAAGGCCGTGTGGAGGCCTTGAGAGGAGCATATTCATTTCATGAGTTTATAAACCCTCATGTAAAAGGCAGGTTCAAACGGCTGGTTGGCACAGACAAACTAAACACCTCACGGTGAATGACGAGCCAACAAAGGAGCACGGCTGCTATAAATAGTGACCGACAAATGGGTTAAGCGTGAACAGGTGAGCGGGGGGGTGGGGAGTGCAGGTAAAACTGATCTGGGCGGGGCAGCCCATCAAAAAGGTGGGAACACACGGAAGGTGATTGACAGAACGTGATGCATGAAACAGGAAACAAACTAACACATGACGGGAAGGGCCAAGCGGGAAAAACTGCATATTCTGTGTGGATTCCCATTACCTCGGTTACACTGAAAAAAGAGAATAGTTGGACCAACTTAATTAAATTATTTCAATTGGTAACACATAACTTAATTAAGTTTTTCCAAATTAAGTTAACAAGTTATAACAAGTATTAACACAATTTCTTTTAGTCAGATGTAATATTTTGATGGGTTTCAAATCAATGGTCGGCATTACTTTAACTCAAAATTAAAACAAGTTAACCTAAAGTTTACAGTTTTTCCAACTCAATTAATTTGTTCAAAATAATGAATATACCTGTCCTAACAATATCATTTTAAGTTGGCTAAAGGAAAAATGAGACTCGAATCTGATGGTTTTCAAAATGTATTGCATAAATGTAAATACAAATTTGTTTACAACGTATAACCATGAATTTTTCGCGACGTGATTTATTTGCTCCTCCCCTTTCGCTCCTTTCACTTTTTCACGTCCCGCGCGGCTCGTTTAATATTTTCCTCATTCGTGACCTGTCACGTCTGTGCATTGACTTTGCATGGAATCTACTCGCACAAATAATATGCTTCGCTTTTGGTGTCAACGCAGCATCAATGTGATCAAATTGGGTGTGTATTGTATTGTTGTGATATCCATTACATTATGTCCAACATGGCCAAGATTACAAAAACATGTAATCAATCCTACCAGCCTCTAGGTGTTTTGGTGGTTATCACAGTTGAGAAAATGTCCCCTTTACAGCAGTACTATAAATCTAGGTTGTTTTTATGTGTGTCCCTTTGACAAGGTGTGCTGACATGCAAATTACTGACAAAACTTACAAGATATGCCTTGATCAGGTTCTCTTCATCTTCTCCAGGAAGACGTTGAGAGCTTTCAGGACACACTCCTGCCGAAGATGAATGTCCTCAGTCTGGGAAAACATAACCTTAATTCATTTCGTTTTTACTAAAATGATGTCCGGAAGCACAGTGTTGTACTTAATCTCAACCACATGTAATTATGACTATTTCAAAGCTCATTTTAAACCGGGGTCTCAAGTGTCACGCACTGAGCGTGACGGACACTCATTTTGGTCTTTAGTCACGCAGTCTCACCACACAACCAATTTCTCAGGCTAAAAAAAAAATCTGACTTCGGTCCGAGCCTCATTGGTCCCTCTTCAACCTCCCTGTCGGCCGTAGCTTAGCGTAGCTCCCCTCCGCAAAAAGTTGAGAGCTCTGATTTACAAAGGAAACAGGTGGTGCCAGTAAACGGAGGCTTTCTGAGGCAGCTAAGACCCAATTTCACCTAACGTTTACATAACCACATTACCTTGAGGTTGTGGTGTAATGTTAGTACAAAAAGTTTGACCGTGCAAACCTTGTAATTGACAAGCTAATGTACCAAGACCATGGCTACCAAGTTCACTATTGCTGCCTGCCGAAATCTTCGGTCCGCTATCGCTAGATATGCTAACTGGCATAGCATCAGGGCACTAACATTATAGAAATGTAATAGCTAACGTTAACGTACTGGCCTGCGAAAGTATCTTGAGGCTATGTTATTAGAAGTTCACGCATCATTGGATTAAATTTGTACACACAAAATGTAAAATGTAGCAGTAGACTTGCGGTACCTTCTATCCAAGTCACGTAACGAGATGAGAGAAAATGGAGGCTCAACTGCTGAGAAAAGATCTGAAAAGATGTGGACGTCATGACGTCAGATGCACAACACTAAGCAAAACCTAATTGACGCGGTTTTACTGAAAGGAGAATAGTGGGTTAAGAGAAGAAATCCATCCATCCATCCATCCATCCATCCATCCATCCATTGTCAAACCGCTTATCCTGCACACAGGGTCGCGGGGGGGCTGGAGTCAAGAGAAGAAATTATCATTTAAAATTAATTGAAACCAGAAAAGTACACTGCGATCACTAAAGCAGAGATCTGATTTAGACTCTTTTGAAACATCAACTTCTACTGAAATACTCTTTTTACAGTCTATCCAGCTTATGTACGGCAGACTCCTTGTTGATCTGTTATGATGCTTTTGAATCAGGAATCAGGAATCAGGAAACATTTATTAGCCAAAATATGTCAAACATACAAGGAATTTGTCTTGGCGGTTGGTGCGAGACAGTAGACAGACAAGACAACAGTGCACAAGTAATAAAATAAAGTGGAATGAAATGCTAATGCAATGGGTTGGTAGAATAAGGCTAAGGCTATGTTAAAGTGACATGTGCGGTATGAAGGGGAGTGACCGGTGGAGTGTTATAGTCAGACACTGGGGGACCGGGCTCTGTTGATGAGCCCGACTGCCGACGGGAAGAAACTGTTCGTGTGGCGGGAGGTCTTAGTCCTGATGGACCTCAGCCTCCTGCCAGATGGAAGGGGCACAAACAGTTTTTGTCCGGGGTGGGAGGGGTCGGCCGCGATCTTTTTAGCTCGCTTCAGAGACCTGGAAGCGAATAAGTCCTGCAGGGACGGCAGATTGGAGCCGATCACCCTCTCTGCAGAGCGGATGACCCGCTGAAGCCTGCCCTTGTCCTTGGCTGTGGCTGCAGCGTACCAGACGGTGATGGAGGAGCAGAGGATGGACTCGATGATGGCCGTGTAGAAGTGGACCATCAACGTCTTTGGCAGGTTGATTTCTTCAGCTGCCTCAGGAAGAACAACCTCTGCTGAGCCTTCTTGTGATGGAGCTGATGTTCAGCTCCCACTTGAGGTCCTGGGTGATGATGGAGCCCAGGAAACGGAAGGAATCCACAATAGTGACGGGGGAGTCACACAGGGTGATGGGGGAGGGTGGGGCTTTGTTCCGCCAGAAATCCACAACCATCTCCACTGTCTTTAGAGCGTTGAGCTCCAGGTTGTTCTGGCTGCACCACGACACCAGATGGTCAGACTCCCACCTGTAGGCGGACTCGTTCCCACCAGAGATTAGTCCAATGAGGGTGGTGTCATCCGCAAACTTCAGGAACTTGACGGACTGGTGGCTGGAGGTGCAGCTGTTGGTGTACAGGGAGAAGAGCAGAGGGGAAAGAACGCAGCCTTGGGGGGAACCGGTGCTGATGGTCCCAGAGGCTGAGACATGTTTCCCCAGCTTCACGTGCTGCTTCCTGTCAGACAGGAAGTCTGTGATCCACTTGCAGGTGGAGTCGGGCACGTGCCGCTGGGAGAGATTGTCCTGCAGCAGAGACGGGATGATGGTGTTGAAAGCAGAGCTGAAGTCCACAAACAGGATCCTGGCGTAGGTTCCTGGGGAGTCCAGATGCTGGAGGATGTAGTGGAGGGCCATGTTGACAGCATCGTCCACAGACCTGTTGGCTCTGTAGGCGAACTGCAGGGGGTCCAGGAGGGGGTCGGTGAGGGACTTCAGGTGGGTCAGGACTAGCCGTTCAAAAGACTTCATGACTACAGAGGTCAGGGCGACGGGCCTGTAGTCATTGAGTCCTGTGATCCTGGGCTTCTTGGGGACAGGGATGATGGTGGAGGCCTTGAAGCAGGCTGGTACGTGGCATGTCTCCAGGGAGGTGTTGAAGATGTCAGTGAACACCGGAGACAGCTGGTCAGCACAATGCTTCAGGGAGTGAGGGGAAACGGAGTCCGGACCGGTTGCCTTACGGGGATTTAGTCTTCTAAAGAGCCGGTTAAAGTCTCTCTCCAGAATAGAGAGGGTCGTTGCTGGTGGGGGAGGGGAAGGCGATATAGTTGAAGAGGCGTGAGCACCTGATGGGCTGGGGGAGGGAGGGGAGGGGGACTGCAGCAGGTTGGTGGAGCTGTGGGGGATGGGATCAGGACATTGTCTTTCAAATCTGCAGTAGAACTCAACTTGGTTGTGATGAAGAAAAAAAGGTGCACACATGATTTGAAACAATTTGAAACAAGGCCATAAAAGCATTTTTCATTTAATATTGCTTTTAGTTGCATACAATAGAGTGCTTTTCGGTTGTTTGTACAATGAAGAAATCAACAGCTTCGAGCAAAACACCTTTTTTAGCTTGGATTAACAGCAAAATGACAAAATATTGTCTTTAAAAAGTTACAACTTGAATAATGATATACCACTATAGAACAGTATATACCAAATTTCCAGAACCAGTTTTAGATGGATACACTCCTACGTCTCCTCAGTTTGTTCATACAGGCATGAATCTTGCGATAGGACATCTGCTTCATGAACACTTTTGAATCTGCATGCTTGAGCGTCCCTGTGGTTGTCAACATAGTTGTTGTGCTTGTTATGGAAAACCTGTTACCCCTCACGGTGGGTAAGCCCAGTTCTGGGACATCGCTCTCTGTGCGTATCGCCGGATCAGGTTTTGGGAAGGAGACGCCTCGCCATCTCCTCAGAACACATTCCAGTGTATCCGCCTTCGACCCTCGAAGTGCTTCGTAGCACTTGGGTAAGAAATGGCAGAAGATGACACCGTAGGTGGACACCAGAATGGCCGTAGCCTGCACAATAGCCGCGTTTTCATGGTTGGTGATATAGACTGGGATAAAACACACCCATACGAACAAGTACATCAGCATGCTGAAGATGATGTAGCCCGTTTCACTGAACTCCTGCGGAACCTTCCTGCCCTTGGCGGCCAAGAAGAAGCCAACCAGTGCCAGCAGCGCTATGTAGACCAACATAACGCCAAAACCTATGTGTGTTGCACCTTCGCTACACTGGATTAGTATGATCATGCTTTGTGGGGACGGAGGCGTGGGATCAATATCAGGGGAGTCCAAGATGAGCCAGAGAAGACAGATGACCCCCTGGAGAGCAGTTAGGCCGATGACGAGTGCGGCTGGCTTGTAGAGTTTGTGTAGGCGCCCGCATGTCAGCTGACCGAAGGGAAGAAAAGCCAGGAAGGTACGGTAGGCCTTGACTAGGATGCAGGACACACACAGGGTGAAGCCCAGGGCATACAGTAACTGACGGGCTCTGCACAGGTGTATATTGGGCTTGCCCATGAAGCATATCACGCTCGCGAAGCTCACCGACAAACCGACCATCATGACGCAAGACAATCTCACCTCGGCCCTTTTCATGGGTGGGGAATCTCTGTACACCAAAAAGATAACGGCGGTAACAAATAAGAGCAAGATGCCAAACACTGCGGCTGCAATCATGATGATGGGATGAGCTTCTGTCCATCGCAGGTAGGACTCAGATCTTGGCCCACACTGGGTCCATCCTTTGAGAGCCCAGGTTCCATTGGGACACGCTTTGCAGGTGGCAAGATCTGTTGGAGAAGAGGAAGATACATATTAGGCAAAAGAGTGGTTGATTTACCACTAAATCAAATGTTCATTAAGATGAACCTAATTGGGAGAGCTTTGTTCAAATACACTCTGGGCAGCGACAAAACGTCACCTGTAAGTTGGTGGTTTATAAATTAAACCCCAAAACGGTACGTCACAGAGTCCTACCCGGAGCGTCTGAGAAGGTCCCCTCCACACAAAGCGTGCAGTTGTAACAGCAGGATACGTTGAGGATCTTTTTCACCGAGCCGGGGGCGCAGTGGTCTGAGCATCTGTATGGAGGAATCTGAGAGGGCAAAAGGAGAAAGCAAGAGCAGCTGAAACCGAGCAGTCTTTGTTCCACTAAACTACAAATAGCTGAAATGTACTGGGGGTTTATGGCAACAATCAAAGATACATCCCCACATTCTTACAGGTCGGGATACTCGTGCTCCCCAGAGGATTTCTTCAGTATCCATCAATCAATGTACCCACTTCAAACTCTTCTTGAATGCATTCATGGTGTTCAGATACAAAATCACAACATATTCTCAGCCTAATGTTTTAAAACCCGCAGCGCTACGTGAACCTTTAGCGTCAGTTTTGGACGCCACGTTTACACAAACAAAAAAACTCTGTCTTCACAGCAAGTTTAGGTTAAGGAAACAGAACCATTTTGTTGGGTTCAGCAAAAGACTCGCAGGGAAAAATGACAACTTCCGATATTACACAAGAAATTTCCCGGGGGGAAAACTCAATTTCCGTTGCTCCGAGCGTCTAATGAGGACTCAGGTCAAACTCTCGCTAAAGCACCGCGCTGTGCGTCGGTCTCAGACGCCGAGGCACACATCCAATGACAACAGGTTGATCAAATCGGCGCGGTTTCTCAAAGTGAAATGAATCCCTCCAAAGGTTCCTAATCCCTAGATGAGGTTTTCAGAGAGTAAAGAGCAGCTTTAAAAGCGTGAGGTGTTTACTGACCACCTGACTGATCACTTTACTGTCCTGACACAGGTGGTAATCAAATCTGTAAGTGGATGTAGTGATAACGTTGTTGTCTTACCGTGGTATTGGCTGTTGAAAACCAGGTGAAGTTTTTATCAACCTCAATTTCTTTATCAAGGACCTGGTATTTTCCGATATTTTGAAATCGTCTGGAATGTCCATCACGTTCCCACATGATAAGGTTGTAATAACTTAAAAAATCACCATTTTTGTCAAAGTTGATATAGTGGTTCTCAAATTCAAACTCAACTTTCTTGAGTTCTTCAAGAAGCTGCAAAGCAAATAGTTGAATGTCAATTAAAATGAGTCCTTTTGCATTAATGAAACTGAAATTGTCACCTTAGCATCCAATTTCCCAAACTGTTATTCATGACAAGTGATGATGATGTCCGCTCACCTTCCATGGGGGGAAGTTAATGTCTCCCGAGCACGAGGAGCTGTTGCACTTCAGTAGTTTCTTCAGAGCATTTGCAGTGGCCCACACTGCTGCTCTGTAAAGGAAGGTTTCCCCCGTATCCAGAGCCCTGACCAGATAGTCATCATTTTGCACTTGGGGATCTGTGAATTTGCACGCGCTGGCGGACTTCATTGTCAGCAGATCGGGTGTGGGACAGTAGGACGGAGGCTTCGTTGAGAAACATTCTGAGCTGCAGTTGAATCTCAGGTTCTTGTATTCTTCGATGAAGCGGTTGTAGCCCCCCGGGGTTGCTGTCAGATTCTTGAGATAGTTGTTGAAGGGTTCGCTCTCTTCAGACACAAACGTGAAGCCCAAGATGTCCCCAACCTCATTGATACCCTTCATTTCGGAGAGGAACTTACTCTTGGTCCAGGTATCGGTGGAAATCCAGATCCTTGATGTGTTGGTCCCAATCATTTCCTTAAAGAGGAGCTCCACCAGTTCTGCTTTAAGGATGAGCAGCACCACCTGGGCGCCGGAGGAGCGGATCACCTTGGCGACTCGCTTGACACTCTGCAGGCTGAGCGAATCGTCGAGGTAATGAGGCAAGACCTCCTGGTAGGCCAAACACACGTCATTAGCCTCGGCGTTCCCGAGGAAGCTGTGAAAAGCTTCGCTGCCGTACGCGTCGTCACCGTACACGACCCCGACCCAGTTCCAGCCGAAGTGATGCATCATTCTGGCCACTGCTCTGGTCTGGTGTTCATCACTGGGAACGGTGCGCAGGAAAGACGGGTAGCGCTGTTTATTGCTCAGGTCTGGTGCGGATGATGTGCTGCTCAGCTGATGAGAAGATTACAAAATTAATAATTAGATGTTTTTTTAAGTGACCTCAAACACCCAAATTTCCACCCCTCGAATTATGTTTTGGTCTTATTTGCATGGTGTCGGATTTAGAAATGTGCACTCAACACTTTACGTACTTGCTGATCCGACAGTATTTGAGACTCACCAGAGGGACCATGTACACATTCATCAGTCTGGCCACAGCGATGGACACCTCAGAGTACAGAGCTCCCAAAACAATCTTGACGGTGGGCCTGAAGTCGCTGTAGTCACAGATCACATTCAGAGAGCCGTTGACTTGGAGCATGTGGCCCACACCCTGCAACGCCTTGCTCGCAGAGGCACACGTGTCACACATCAAATATCCAAGACGCAGCCCTGGCAGGAAGCCAGCTGCATTTATGGCCTCAATTTCATGGATGGTAGCCAAGGATTTGAGAAATGACTCCAGATTAAAGCTGAAAAAGGGCGCGGATAGAAAAAAATTACAATTTTGTGTAAAATACTAAATAAAATAGCTGTTTAAACCTTTACATGATGAAAATATTGAAAAGACACTTGGTTTGAGGTATTTGAGTTAATTCAGGGAGGTGTGCAAAAGGCTACGCAGGTGGAACCTCCAGTTGAACATGCGGACGAGGAAGGTTTATTAAGAACCTTTAGAATCACAGTGCTGAATAAAACCGGTAAAGGCCGCACCCCCAGAACTATTTGACTCGTCGCCAAGCCCTGCCCCTCCAACATAGACTGGCCAATCGCAGCCTAAGAAACCTTCTCCAGGTTCCCCAAAACATTGTGTAACAATGATACTCGAGGGGTTGGAAGGAAGTATAAATGTGATTCCTAAACTCAATTCCTAAACATTACATTTACATTACATTACATGTCATTTAGCTGACGCTTTTATCCAAAGCGACGTACAATAAGTGCATTCAACCATAGGGTACAAACTCAGGAGAACAAGAAACAAGAAAGTGCAATTTCCTCAAATAAGCCAATTTACAATTTGCTATAGATGAGTGACGTTACAAGTACAATTTAAGTGCTAAAGTTTGTTAGTCTTTAGTCGAGGTAGAGTCTGAAGAGGTGTGTCTTTAGTTTGCGGCTCTCTGCGGTCCTGATGTCTTCAGAGAGCGCGTTCCACCATTTCGGCGCAAGGACAGCGAAGAGTCGAGATCTAGTCGAGTGTTTTGCTCTCAGTGAGGGAGGGACGAGTAGTTTAGCAGATGCAGAGCGGAGAGTGCGGGTCGGGATGTCGGGTTTGACCATGTCCTGGATGTAAGCTGGACCCGATCCATTCACAGCATGGTACATGAGCACCAGTGTTTTGAACTGGATGCGGGCGGCCACCGGTACCAGTGAAGAGAGCGGAGGAGTGGAGTAGTGTGGGAGAATTTCGGAAGGTTGAAGACCAGTCGAGCTGCTGCATTCTGAATGAGCTGCAGAGGTCGAATGGCGGTGGCAGGGAGACCTGCCAGGAGGGAGTTGCAGTAGTCCAGGCGTGAGATGACAAGAGCCTGAATCAGTACCTGCGCTGCCTTCTGAGTGAGAAGAGGACGTATTCTCCTGATGTTGTAGAGCGTGTATCAGGATCGCGTTGTCGCGGTGATCTAAACAGTTAGACATTCTTGATATATCCTTCGTTTTAAATTTCAGTGAGGTTTTTTACTACCGTTTTTTACACCTATAAAATTACTTTTTTACTACTTACTTACAAGTTAACATTAGCAGGTCATGGCAAAACATGCACATATTTACCCACTTTTATTTTTCTTATATTTCTGTAAACATACAATTTATTCATATATCACCAATTTTTTGTTTTATATTTTGTAAAATGTATCATGACAGTGTTCAAACTGTGAAAAAAAATGAAAAATGTACTTCCCAACACATACCTAAACCATACCATTTAATGTGGCCAATTTAAAATGTCCTCGCACTCACTCTGAGCAGTGGTAGTCTCCAGGTCTGATCCGCACGTGATCCTTCACTTTTCGATGACATGGCAACAAAATGCCAATCACCACGTCCCCGGGAGCCTCGGCGCCGCAGACCGACTCAGCAAAGTCACATCCATCCACAAGAGCCGGGAAGCCGCTCACGAGCATCAGGGCCCAGAAGAAGCGGCGCGGGAGACCACGCATCTGCATCCTGCAGGCCGTATGGGGGGAAAACAAGCACTTCTCCTGCGCGTGGCGGAGCTCGACACGGTGAAGGAACCTGTTGCCAAGTGGAACTGGGAGAAATTGAGTTGAGTACGGAGTAGCAAGTGACTCATTTCTCAGCAGAGCTTCTTCCTGGCGGGGATTCCCTCTGCTCAGCTGCAGAGCGGCTGCTCTATTTTTAATCCCTGGACCAAGGAAATTGATCAAATCAAAACGATTTATTTAAACTTTATTTTACTCTTCAGATATCTCAGGTTGACACTGTTGTGTATCTATAACAATGTAACAGTTCACTGTTACATTTCCAAAAATCCTTTTGTCAAATATTTCTGTGCCATAGACGGACATTTGTATCACACCAGAATGCTGTTTGTTTTTTTATTCAACCCCTTGGAAATAAATTGGCAGGCTTTGCACTCAGCGCTTGAGTATCACACTCTCAACTCGAGGTTGAGGCTCCTCACAGACAGACAGAGACCCTCTGGATTGGTCTTCCAGCCTCCTCCACTCCACTTGGAGTGAACATGGAGAACCTGACATGCTCATCCCACAGGTCCACTTGATGCCCTTAAAGAAGCTCAATCCTGTGCCAGGCCTCTTGTTAACTTTACAGAGGAGCAACAGAAACATTACAAACCAACTTATGTTTCTTGAATATATTCTTAAGCGACCTTGTTATGAAGCACAACCTTCATAATGAGCTCTTCTCTCTGTTGTCATGGAGATCTCCACCAGGCGTGTCTCCAGCGACCGCCGGCGAGAGACCTTTTGTGATGAAACCTCTGACAATGCTGTCCTCTGCTGGTGAGTTACAGCCAAACGTGTTGCACATGGCCCTCAGAATAAAGAGGTTTGGCTCTTGAGTTGATCGCTTCATTGATTTTTTTATCTCCATCAATGCTCCATCACGTCGCTCCCCCGAACTTGTAAGTAATCCCTGAATGAAACTTGAGTTAAATGAGAAGAGGGGAACCCACCAGGCGTAAACAATACCACCTCCGGTTATAATCCTTGTGTGCACTGGTTGGATTTGGAGCTGCTTTGCTTCCACAACACGTTTTCTTTCAGACCGGCGGAAGGAAAACATCAAAAACACCTGAATGTGTTAGAAGTTAGAAGTTAGACCAAAAATTTCCATTTCTAAGAAACACCAAACTGTCCATAATATTTAGTTTCTTAAGAGGTTTGTTCAAAGACCATTCATAATCAGATCTATACAACATTTCCTTCACACAAACCTGATGGAAATTGCTTTTTTTATGTTTATGGAGTGATGATCCAATTTCCCCTCCAATTTAAACCTTTTGAACAATATGTAAACAAATCAAACAACAACATCCTATGTCAAGATCTCTATTCCGGAAATGAACAAATTAGCATGTTTCGTTTGACCCCTTTTTGACCTTAAGTTTTTTTTAAGTTCAGCTACCACAGCCACGAGCCGCCTCCCAAAACGTATTCAATAAAAAAAGCACCACAAAATTGATCTGGGTCTTTGCACAAGAAGATTATGTGTTACGATCAATCTCACAATATCTACAGAAGTATAAGGAAATTTTCAAGGAATCCGCCGATGCAGTGGGAACCTAAGTTGTCCCTTGCAATGACACACACAGTTCCTGTAGGTCTTGCCATCATGCATGGTGATGCTACTTGTCACAAGATCTTTTACATCCTTTATCAGAGATCCAAACACTAGCTCTTGGCCAAAATACTTAAAGACCTGTTCTTTACATAGCAACACCAGTTGCTATCTTTTTCCTTATCCAAGCGCATTCACAACTTCGAGGGCATCTTGGCCCTTGGGCATATTGGGCATCTTGGGCATATCCCCTAAGGACAATTCTTGTTGTTTTTAAAGATTGTGCCATTCCACACATCTCTTAGCACAAAGTCTGAGTTGTCATTTGGGTTTGAATGCCAATATTCAAACACATTTGACCGCATAAGTGATGGAACAATGTCTTTGATGGGAATATATTGCCCAAAACACTCCTTGCCTGACTCATTCTGTCCCCAAAAAATGGGCATTGGCGTAAAATAATCAAAGTTAGCCTTGAAGACAGTTTTTCTTCTCTGGTCTGTTTTTAATGTTTGTGAATTACATTTTCTGAAAAGATCTTCACATTTAACGGTATCAATTACATTTTCTGTCAGTTTTCTGCTACCCCCAGAGTTTTTCCTTGAGTTTGATAAGTAGATGTGACCGGCGGATGTCATGTATCTGTTGATAGCCCTCTATGATCGTCTGAATCACAGAGGCAGGAAGGAGAAATTTGGCTCGCAACTTTAAGTAAAACATAGCCAAATGTCGAAAAAATGTATTCTCTTCCACAGCCTCTGGGCATACAGATCATCAAATTCCATATCACTATCGCCATCAATGTCTCTGGATCGGGATGGATTCACAATAGAGTCCAAATTAGCTCCACCAAGATTAATGACATGAAAAAGCTGAAACCGGTTCCAAAAGTTTGCATTGCCGTAAATCTTTTCAAACACCATGATGCAATTTCATTCAATCAACCATACAGGCCTAGATGTCATTATACAACATCTGAAGTCATCCTCCTGCATCCTCATTAGATATTTTTCCAACACACTTTTTCAAAAATATCTCAAACTGCATGGCCACCGATCTCCTACAAATTGTAAACACATCCCTCCTCTCAGGTGTCTTCCCACAAGCACTTAAAACTGCTGTTATTAAACCACTCCTAAAGAAGGCTAATCTCGACGCATCAACAATGAAAAATTATAGGCCAATATCAAACCTTCCTTTTTTAAGTAGAATAATTGAAAAAGTCAGGCTTTCGACAGCACCACAGTACTGAAACTGCTCTTGTTAAGGTTTTCAACGAGACACAATGGCAGAATTTCAGTTTTAGTATTACTGGATCTCAGCGCAGCATTTGACACAGTTGACCACTACTGGATAGACTAATCAACTGGGTGGGACTCTCTGGCACAGCACTTAACTGGTTTGAATCCTACTTGAAAGACCGAAAATACTTTGTCTGTATTATACACATCAGAGCTGAAGAAAATGACATGTGGTGTCCCCCAAGGTTTATGTGAAGCACTTTGAATTGCCTTGTTGTTGAAATGTGCTATACAAATAAAATTGCCTTGCCAAAACAACAAAAAGGGAAAATAAAATAAAATGAGAAGAGAAGTCCGTCAAAATAACTGAATTTAAATAGATGCCACTCGAAATGAAAGACAATAGATGGCAGCATTTCTACACTGAAATCATCTGGAGTTCTCGTTTTTGCTCCATTTGCATGCAACCTAAGTCACGCGAGGGTTAGAGAGCATCATGACTACCTTTGTTTACAAGAAACTCCACAGGGAACCTTCAATGAGATCATTTACATACAGTTACATGTGTCTTATTACGCACTGGGCAAAGATAACAGCTCCTGAACATTTCCATAAAAAGCATTTTCCACAGGTATATTTTTGTATTTTTAATGGGACAACTTTGAGGTAGAAAACATGGTTAACACAGATGGGTAGCCAGTTCAAACCGTCCAAACAGGGAATAGAATACATACAAAAACATTTGAGTCCATCTTATCATTTTTAAATTATTGGCAGACTCTTTGGTTAAAGTATAGCAGCTAAAAACAACCCTGTTTGCCACATTTTCCTCCCAGTTTTGGGGTTAGAGATGGAGCTGGAAGGACCACTAGGGCTCCAATCGCAAATTTAATAACTTTAAAAAAAATTAAGGTATTTATAGATTCATCGTATTATTTTAGATAAAGTATGTCTTTAGAAACAAACATATACCAATTTCCCAGAAGTCATTTCAACAGAAAAGTTTAAGAGCTTAACATGCACTTGAATTCATATTATTAATTGACTAACACACTCAGCACAAACCTCTTTGGAAAGAGAAAGGGTCTAACCTCAGAATTCTGCTAATCCATAAACCATTCCCTCCCACCTAATTCCCGTAAGCAACCCTGACCCATCACAGCTGGGCTCTCGACTGCTGTCACAGTGGCACTTGGGTCCAACTGGCCGTCGTCTCCCGTCATCAGGGGGCCTATCAGAGGGCAACAAGAGGAGGGGAAAGCATTTAAGTACATGGGTGGATTATGGTGGATGGAGCCCAGGAGCTCAGCTAACCGCATGGGTGGAATGAGGCCTAATCCAATGGGGATTAGGCCAGGTGGCTTCTCCCGAGGGAGGAGGTATGAGCTGGTAACAAACAACCACAACCTGGTACAACTGGTATGAATCAGAGGTAAACTGCGTGAAAAAGCTTTTATAAACGCTGGTAGTTATAAACTGTATTAAACGCAAGCGACTTACATTGCATTTTTAACCCATGGTTTTTACATTTTGCCCAGGGAGCGGTTGGGTGTTTTGCTTAGGGACATGTCGACTGGGGCATGGAGCAGCCAAGGTTCGAACTGCCAACCTTGCGATTCCCAGCGTACCCCCTCTACTCCATGCGCCACCGTCACCAGCATGATCTACTCACGACATGAATTGAAAGTTTGATTTGTGAGGAGCATTTTATTAGGAAAGAAAGGTCCTCTGGGGTAGCAGGCTCAATGAGGATATATTTACTGTGTGATACAGATCTGCTTTGTGTCTTCTGGGAATGGAGATGCTCAGACACGCTGTCATTCACTTAAGCAGGAAGTAAGGTAGCTGATTGAATCTACCACACAGATGGCTCCTAACTCAAGTAGACAAGCATAAACCCCAAAGTTCAAACTCCACCCTTTTTGGATGCATCAATGACATAAACATTATGAAAATTCTGTCCATATTTTATGGAGTAACTTCTTAAATAATATTCACCTTTATTTTGTGGTTAAAGGCTCCTTCCCCTTGACCCGGGTATGGGCTGAACAGTCGTCTTTGGAAAACTCGGCGTGGGAACAACCAGGCCTCTGCTCTGATTGGGTGCGACGCGTAGGGTCGTCTATCCCCCTCGCGTGAAGCCTCCCCCGGGGGGCCTCACCCCATGGTTTGGGAAGTAAAGAGCTTCCGGGGGGAACGCAGGTCTGAGAGTTCTGTGAGTCCTTTCGACAGAAAACCGAGCGTGCGTCATGAAAGGACACGGACGGAATGATCTCCTCCGTGTTGTTGTCTGTTTCACGTGCCACAGACTTTGGAGAACTTGGGCGAGACGAGGGCCTGGAGGACGACGAAGGTCTGAACGCAGGAGGGCTTGGAAATCTGTGGCACACAGAAGGATAAGATGGTGGAAGGCGGGCTCTGGATACAGGCGGCGCTGTCACAGGCAGGCTGTGCGAGGGCATCTCACCCTCATGGAATTCATGGCTTCCACTTCTTCGACCCCCTCTGTCTTGAGGGGGTGAAGGTCCCCTGCCTTTTAACTCTGTAGTATCTCTCTTGTTGTAAGATTCTCCTGCATTGCTCAGTTGAATCATCTTACGTGCCTGCTGGTAGAGACAGTTAGCCTTCTCTGTTTCTTGATTCAGATCAGTTTCTCGTTGTCGCGCGGCATCCTGTCTGGCAGGTAAGATGCTGATCAATCGTGGCTTCATGCTGGCTCGGTTTGGCAGCACTTCTACATTCTGCACAGACGCTTTGAGGCGCTGACTAACTTTGGTCTTTTGGTTTATTATTGGGAGGACTAAACCTTCCTGTGACCTTTCCTTGTTTCCTGATGTGTCCTCGGTACTCTGGAAGGAATCGTCCATCAGAACCTCTGGGGGCGGAGGTGGTAGGTTGTCCACATCAAGGTCATCCTTGCTTTCAGGCCATCTGTTATTGTTGTTGTTGTCATTGATGACCAACCCCTCCTCGTTGCTTTTTACCGTGTTGGATGACCGAATGATCCCACATTTTCTGGACCTCCTGATATGAGGTGGAATATTAGCCAGGCTCTGCCCTGGTCTACCGTCAACGCCTTGGCTAAAGGTATTTATCAGTCTTCTGACAGATTGGAGCTTGGGTGGTTGGGGTCTCAATGCTGGTAAGGTACCAAGTGATTGGTCTGATCTGAAGGGGCCTCTTTGTGCACTTGCTGATCCACTTATTGAATGCCGTCGTAGACCAGCTCTATGAAGGTTATGATGAGGCCCTGCTAACCCTTTCTTTCGGTTTTCACACATATTTTTCATTCGTTGATCTAAATTCTTCTGGCTCTTTTGTAGGTCCATCATGATGTTCACACACCTGGTGGATGAAGAGTCTTTGGTTGAGGTGACCGCAGTAAGGGGCCGTTCGGCTGAAGACTGCTGATCCTTCATGTAATTTGCACACATGAAAATAAAGGACTGACTGGGATCCGGTGGGGAAGAGTTTGACCTCTTCCTTTCAGGTCTATCACCTTCATCATCCTCATACTCTTCATCTTCATCTTCCTCCTCCTCCTCCTCGTCTTCATCATATTCATTATAGCCCGCCAGGCTAAGTAAATTACCGGGAAGCGTATCGAGTGCGGCACGAATGTTGCTCCCAGATCCACAACTTCCAGATCCGGCGCTCCCGCGGTGGCGGCGGTGCCTTTCTGACCCTGTCAGACTCTCGTTTTCTCCGCCGATGCCGCTGTCCTCACTGTGCAGTGCCGAATCCTCAGGGTTCAACTTCCACGTGGCGGCCTTCTGCACCCGCGTCAGCACTAGCGTGAGCCTCTGCTCGGCTGCCTGCTTGGCCTGCAGCTTCTCGACCAGCAGTTGAGAAAGAGAAGAAAAATACTCCACCGCCTCCTCAAGCGTGGTGTCACCCAGTGCCTGCACAGAGCCCCCCACAAGTTTCATTTTCTCTGTTGAATGCTTGAGCAGCTGCTGTAACAGATCAGGAGGTGGACTAGGGGGGTTGGCTGAGTCAAGCCTGGGTTTAGCTAGCATAACAGCCGGGCCCATCATCCCAGAAGGCAGAGACATGTAGTCCCCGTGCTCCTTCAACATCAGCTCCCCCTCTTCAGCCATCTCCTCTAGAGCCTGGTTGATCTCCTCGAAGTGCAGCACAAAAGCAGACACCGTGGGCTGGAGGGACAGCTGTGTCTGGGCGGCCTGGTCCAGTAGACCCAGCAGGGCTTCGTATTTTGAAATGTTCGGGTTCAGAAAAGCGTAGGCTGCCTGGTGAGCCCTCACCATGGGCGGCGGGAAGTCAAACTTTGCCTGAACGATAGAGGATTTTCTTTGCTTCTCGGCAGACCTTCTCTTGCCCTTACTTTTCTTTCTTTTCTCAAACTTCTTGATCTTGTCTGTTTTTGCAACCTCATTGGTTATGTCTTGGGGTATCGCATTGGCCTCGGTTTCTTCAACGTACTCAGCTTTTTGGCCCCCCGTTGTGTCGGAGGTCAACTGATGATGTTCTTCGGTGAGTAGAGGTAGTTCATTTTCTTTCTCGTGAGTCTCAAAACATTCGCCCTCCTCTTCTTCGGGCCTAGACCCAACACCTTCTTGGGGAATTTCAGCCAACAGAGCATTTGGAGATCCGTCTTGTTGTTCTTCAGCCAGAGGAGCCTGTTGAGATCCAGGGCCTTCTGGCTTTGAAAATAACTTTCCTTTGGATGGAGAGCAGCCCATTTTTGCGCTAAAAAATGAATCAAGAAAACGTTAAAAAATCAAACATTCGTCAGGAGCACAAGTGAAAGCCAACGTGTAAATCCATCGGCCTGGCGGGTGGGTGATGAGACAAGGTCCTCTAGAATCCTCCAAAGACGTCCTTTTGGCAACAGTTTAGACGCCACATGCTAGTTTCAATGTATATTTCTCTGGTTCTTTTATGCTTTCTCTTGAGGATTTTTCGGTGGAGCGGTGCCGGAGTTACTGGCAACCTGTTGAGTGGACTGACTTTCTACCGAGGCTCTCAATCGTGAGGAGCTAAGAGGATAAGACGGATCGGGGGGGGGTTGGTTCTTCTCTCTCTGTCAGCACGCACAGATGGTCACGTTAAGTGCATCAACGCGCACACGCTCTCGCACACACACACACGCATGCATTTACACGTAAGACTTTAAGCTCGTCAGGTTAATCAGAACCAAGTTTGTCAGGTGATGTTTTTAGGCTCATCACTGCTGTTGGTAGTTTACATGCAACTAGTGGGTTCACGTAGGAGATAAACAACTGAGTTGTTTGTATGTTTAACAGAAATGTCCATATCACTTTCAGATCTAGTTCTTATTTCACAGCCTTCCTAAAAGCTGGGTAAAGGTTCTCAGGCATGAGCGGCTAGACGTTCCTCGGGAACTTGTTACACGAGTTATTCAAAGCCATTTTTCGGGTTTTGGTGTCTCTTTTCTCTTGTCGACCCTTGACTGGGTAAAAAGTCCCTTCAAAAAGTTGATTAACAGGAACTGCTACCTTTCTGTAGCATGAACCGTTCTCTGCAAACTGGTTTGTGAGATAAAATCTTGACAGGCTGACAGATTGCTTTTCTATTTGATTGCCTCGACCTAGAATGCGCTAATTAATGTATTGTAGATGTAATTTTACATGAAGGGTTTGTTCTGTAAATGGTGTAAATGGTGAACAGAATTTGGTTCAGAAACTGAATTGGCATAAAGGGACAAAAGGAACAGGAAAAGGAACTTCTGATGGACAGTTCAACAAAAGAGGAGATATCGCTCAAGGGAACTGGCTTTAAATAGCAAAAGATTCCTGTTTCAGTGCGTGCGGCCTTAGAAGCTGAAGTTAACAAGCAACATGCTCACACGTGATAAATATAAAGTTTAGACTGGAGGTGACCTTTATGAAACACATGCTGAACGTGCCGACTGATGAATCTCACTTCAAACCTATTTAATCTGACCTGTGTAGACTGCCGACGGCACAGACTGAATTTATGAGTTCATAAAAAACACTTGAACAACTGAACCCAGCTATCTGTCTGTAGGTATCTGTAATCCTCGTATTGCAGTAACAGGAACCGAGCAGAAGGAGTTTAAACTGCTGGAGGTCCGTGGATCCGTGGCCTTGTTGATCAGGTCTCTGTTTTTGTGGCACATAACAGGCTCAGTCTGCGTGGCGACAGGGAAATTACCTCTGTCACGTGCGTCCGTCCCGACGGAGGCATCCAGGGGTCTTCTAGTGGGACTTTGTCCTTATCAGGAGGACAGGCGATGTTGTGTGCTTTACACTTTGCTCAGTATCTGTATTACGTTGAACAATTAGTGCAGGCATTCCCACTGACGCTGTGTTACGTCCCCCAGCTCTGGTGTTTGTTGCTACACGTGTTTGGGTGCATGCAGTGTCTTGATTACAGATGAGCCACACCTGAGCAGAACCTGTGTTGGCGCTACAAAGGCAGGAAGGACCATTCTCGGGGGGGGGCACACAGATGCTTGAGAGTGCTGCTGCCAAGATCGCCGTTCAGCCGTCCACCCGTCCACCCGGCAGTGAAAATGTTCCCGCATTTGTATTTTGTTTTTGTTTGTTGTTAAGATACCTTTAATATCCATTTTATTAAATAAAATACCCCTAGCTTATTTTGATACGAGCCGGTTTGTGTGTGTCTTGCCTTTATGTTAAGGGTGGTGTCCGACCGCCCGTAACACGCTGTGTCACTTACAGCTGCTATCTGCAATGTACCTGCGTGTCAGCAATGTGATAACATCACCATTCAGAAAAGGCCCATCTGTCTGCAAACAAACAAAATTACACCATGACAATAGCTGCATTGTCGCAGACAGATTGTGACACGCAAAACATTGCGTCTTCAGGGAAGTAAATGAACCATTTCCCGGCAGGCTGACAGTCACACGTCACTGTCTTATTAATATAAAGTGTAAATGGTTTTCTATTGTATTCTGATCAGTGGTTAGTTGTGGGTGAGCATGTGTGTTTGCAGTACATGTGGCTTTAATACCTCCGCAGTAGATTAGTGATCAACAGTCAGTGGTGCAACGGTCTCAGGGGGACATGCTGTGCTGTTCTCGACTGTTACTCCAGCTTTCCCTCTCAGGCTTGCACAACAAGAGCACTGTTGAACTCTAAAGCTTCAAGTGTGTAATGCCTGTGATTAATTTCACAACGGATGCTTTACGTGTCTTATCCTAGTTTTATTCATGTACATATATTAACATAGTAACATAATACTAAACATTAGCATCCGATGGAATGTTTCTGCTTCACATATTACCTTTCTGCACTGAGGGAACCTGACTTTAACTCATCAATATGTTTTACACTTTTATTTTGTAAATATCCAACCTGTTCTCTATGGAATGCAGTTTTAGTCAAAATTAAATAAATGAATAAATACGTAAATACATGAAATATGCATTTGAAATACATGATGGAATAAATAAATGAGGCAATAAATACATAAATATTAAATACATTTAATTATTTCATGGTACTTTTATTTCATAATGCCACTTTGACTAAAACGGCATTCCATAGTTCTCACTCCCACTGCTATTTAGCTAATATGCCTAAGGCTACTAGCGCAGTACCCATTGCACATTTCATTCTGCGTTAGTCTTTAGCTGTAGGGGATTTGTAAGCAGTGGATGTTTATCAAAGTCACGATGGATCATTGGACGCATTATAAGGACGCTTCATCATCAAATCTCTCTAAAGGACTTTTCCAAGTCTACAGAGAAAGAGTCCTTATATTGGAGGAACTTTGGTGCTCTTAAAAACCCACAATCCCATACAGGCAATTTCTTCATCTTGTCTCCTGGTTAGGAAATGGGCAAAATATTCTGTTAAAGTTTGTGAACAAATTTGAGGCGAGAGTTCCAATCCTGTTTGCATATTCCATATTTGATATACAAGGCTTCATGTGAAAGGTTGTTAACTGAGCTGCAGCACTGAGGCTCACAGACAGAAACAGATTCAGCATGTTCACCTCTAACTGTGTAAATGAAAGCTCTGTTTTTCAAAGGCCGTGTGGAGGCCTTGAGAGGAGCATGTTCATTTCATGAGTTTATAAACCCTCATGTAAAAGGCAGGTTGAAACGGCTGGTTGGCACAGACAAACGAAACGCCTCACGGTGAATGACGAGCCAACAAAGGAGCACGGCTGCCATAAATAGTGACCGACAAATGGGTTAAACGTGAACAGGTGAGCGGGGGTGGGGAGTGCAGGTAAAACTGATCTGGGCGGGGCAGCCCATCAAAAAGGTGGGAACACACGGAGGGTGATTGACAGAACGTGACGCATGAAACATCCCTTGGTTATCTGTTATGATGCATACGTTGGGTTGTAATGAAGAAAAAACGGTGGACACATGATGGAAACAATTTGCAACAAAGGCTTAAAAGTATTTTTAATTTAATATTAATTTTAATTGGATACAATACAAAGGAGTGCTTTTGGGTTGTTTGTACATTGAAGAATTAAACAGCTTTTTAGCAAAAGTATTACACAAAATATTGTCTTTAAAAAGTTAAAGCTTGAATAATGATATACCACTGTAGGACACGGCTATAGGACAGTATACAGTATGTCCACCAGTTTCAGATGGATATACTCCTACGCCTCCTCAGTTTGTTCTTACAGGCATCAATCTTGCGATAGGACATCTGCTTCATGAACACTTCAGAATCTGCACGGCTGAGCGCCCCTGTGTTTGTGAACATAGTTGTTGTGCTTGTTATGGAAAACCTGTCACCCCTCACGGTGGGTAAGCCCAGTTCTGGGACATCACTCTCTGTGCGTATCGCCAGATCAGGTTTTGGGAAGGAGACGCCTCGCCATCTCCTCAGAACACATTCCAGTGTATCCGTCTCCGACCCTCGAAGTGCTTCGTAGCACTTGGGTAAGAAGTGGCAGAAGATGACACCGTAGGTGGACACCAGAATGGCCGTAGCCTGCACAGGAGCGGCGTTTCCATGGTTGGTGATATAGGCTGGGATAAAACACACCCATACGAACAAGTACATCAGCATGCTGAAGATGATGTAGCCCGTTTCACTGAACTCCTGCGGAACCTTCCTGCCCTTGGCGGCCAAGAAGAAGCCAACCAGTGCCAGCAGCGCTATGTAAGCCAACATAACGCCAAAACCTATGTATGTTGCACCTTCGCTACACTGGATTAGTATGATCATGCTTTGTGGGGACGGAGGCGTGGGATCGATATCAGGGGAGTCCAAGGTGAGCCAGAGAAGACAGATGACCCCCTGGAGAGCAGTTAGGCCGATGACGAGTGCGGCTGGCTTGTAGAGTTTGTGTAGACGCCTGCATGTCAGCTGACCGAAGGGAAGAAAAGCCAGGAAGGTACGGTAGGCCTTGACTAGGATGCAGGACACACACAGGGTGAAGCCCAGGGCATACAGTAACTGACGGGCTCTGCACAGGTGTATATTGGGCTTGCCCATGAAGCATATCACGCTCGCGAAGCTCACCGACAAACCGACCATCATGACGCAAGACAATCTCACCTCGGCCCTTTTCATGGGTGGGGAATCTCTGTACACCAAAAAGATAACGGCGGTAACAAATAAGAGCAAGATGCCAAACACTGCGGCTGCAATCATGATGATGGGATGAGCTTCTGTCCATCGCAGGTAGGACTCAGATCTTGGCCCACACTGGGTCCATCCTTTGAGAGCCCAGGTTCCATTGGGACAAGCTTTGCAGGTGGCAAGATCTGTTGGAGAAGAGGAAGATACATATTAGGCAAAAGAGTGGTTGATTTACCACTAAATCAAATGTTCATTAAGATGAACCTAATTGGGAGAGCTTTGTTCAAATACACTCTGGGCAGCGACAAAACGCCACCTGTAAGTTGGTGGTTTATAAATTAAACCCCAAAACGGTACGTCACAGAGTCCTACCCGGAGCGTCTGAGAAGGTCCCCTCCACACAAAGCGTGCAGTTGTAACAGCAGGATACGTTGAGGATCTTTTTCACCGAGCCGGGGGCGCAGTGGTCTGAGCATCTGTATGGAGGAATCTGAGAGGGCAAAAGGAGAAAGCAAGAGCAGCTGAAACCGATGTATCAATGTACCCACTTCAAACTCTTCTTGAATGCATTCATGGTGTTCAGATACAAAATCACAACATATTCTCAGCCTAATGTTTTAAAACCCGCAGCGCTATGTGAACCTTTAGCGTCAGTTTTGGACGCCACGTTTACACGAACAAAAAAACTCTGTCTTCACTGGAAGTTTAGGTTAAGGAAACAGAACCATTTTGTTGGGTTCAGCAAAAGACTCGCAGGGAAAAATGACAACTTTTGATTTTACAAACATCAGTCTCCGGGGGGAAAGTCCTGTGTTTGTACGACTCCGAGCATCTAATGAGGACTCGGGTGTGTCGACATCGGAACTGTGTGGCAAACTCTCGCCAAAGCACCCCGCTGTGCGTCGGTGTCAGACGCCGAGGCGCACATCCAATGACAACCTGTCAAATCAATTCTCTAAGTGGATGTTGTGATAACGTTGTTGTCTTACCGTGGTATTGGCTGTTGAAAACCGGGTGATGTTTTCAATCTTAATTTCTTCTTCAGAGACAATGTATTTCCCGATATTTTGAAATCGTCTATGGTCTCCATCCCGTTCCCACATGATAAGGTTGTAATAACTTAAAAAATCCCCATTTTTGTCAAATTTGATAGAGTGGTTCTCAAAGTTAAACCCAAACGTATCATTCTTCAGTACTTCAAGAAGCTGCAAAGCAAAGAGTAGAATGTCAATTAAAATGAGTCCTTTTGCATTAATGAAACTGAAATTGTCACCTTAGCATCCAATTTCCCAAACTGTTATTCATGACAAGTGATGACGATGTCCGCTCACCTTCCATGGGGGGAAGTTAATGTCTCCCGAGCACGAGGAGCTGTTGCACTTCAGTAGTTTCTTCAGAGCATTTGCAGTGGCCCACACTGCTGCTCTGTGAAGGAAGGATACCCCCGTATCCAGAGCCCTGACCAGATAGTCATCATTTTGCACTTGGGGATCTGTGAATTTGCACGCGCTGGCGGACTTCATTGTCAGCAGATCGGGTGTGGGACAGTAGGACGGAGGCTTCGTTGAGAAACATTCTGAGCTGCAGTTGAATCTCAGGTTCTTGTATTCTTCGATGAAGCGGTTGTAGCCCCCCGGGGTTGCTGTCAGATTCTTGAGATAGTTGTTGAAGGGTTCGCTTTCTTCAGACACAAACGTGAAGCCCAAGATGTCCCCAACCTCATTGATACCCTTCATTTCGGAGAGGAACTTACTCTTGGTCCAGGCATCGGTGGAAATCCAGATCCTTGATGTGCTGGTCCCAATCATTTCCTTAAAGAGGAGCTCCACCAGTTCTGCCTTAAGGATGAGCAGCACCACCTGGGCGCCGGAGGAGCGGATCACCTTGGCGACTCGCTTGACGCTCTGCAGGCTGAGCGAATCGTTGAAGTAATGAGGCAAGACCTCCTGGTAGGCCAAACACACGTCATTAGCCTCGGCGTTCCCGAGGAAGCTGTGAAAAGCTTCGCTGCCGTACGCGTCGTCACCGTACACAACCCCGACCCAGTTCCAGCCGAAGTGATGCATCATTCTGGCCACTGCTCTGGTCTGGTGTTCATCACTGGGAACGGTGCGCATGAAAGACGGGTAGCGCTGTTTATTGCTCAGGTCTGGTGCGGATGATGTGCTGCTCAGCTGATGAGAAGATTACAAAATTAATATATTCATGTTTTTTATGAAGTGACCTCAAACACCCAAATTTCCACCCCTCAAATTATGTTTTGGTCTTATTTGCATGGTGTCGGATTTAGAAAAGTGCACTCAACACTTTACGTACTTGCTGATCCGACAGTATTTGAGACTCACCAGAGGGACCATGTACACATTCATCAGTCTGGCCACAGCGATGGACACCTCAGAGTACAGAGCTCCCAAAACAATCTTGACGGTGGGCCTGAAGTCGCTGTAGTCACAGATCACATTCAGAGAGCCGTTGACTTGGAGCATGTGGCCCACACCCTGCAACGCCTTGCTCGCAGAGGCACACGTGTCACACATCAAATATCCAAGACGCAGCCCTGGCAGGAAGCCAGCTGCATTTATGGCCTCAATTTCATGGATGGTAGCCAAGGATCTCAGAAATGACTCCAGGTTAAAGCTGAAAAAGAAGAATCTTCAGCATCACGGAAAAGGCCGGACTCCCAGAACTAATTGACCCGTCGCTCAGACGCAGACAGGCCAATTTTTTCTAAACGTATTTTCAATACTGTTAGACATCCTTGATACATCCTTCAACAGCATTTTGTTGAATTCTTGGAGTTTTAAAGTTAAAATTAAAAATATTAGGAATGACGTTTTTACTGCAAAGTGTTTCAGAGCTATACCTTTAGACTGCAGGTCAATATAAACACTTTTTTCTTCTTATATTCTCCACAGTATTTGTACTACATACTATTAATTTACATATGACCATTTCTTTGGTGCCATTTATAAATACCTTAACTTTACTACTCCCCATAAACATACACATAAAGACCATCCAATGTGGCCATTTAAAATGTCCTCGCACTCACTCTGAGCAGTGGAAGTCTCCAGGTCTGATCCGCTCGTGATCCTTCACTTTTCGATGACATGGCAACAAAACTCCAATCACCACGTCCCCGGGAGCCTCGGCGCCGCAGACCGACTCAGCAAAGTCACATCCATCCACAAGAGCCGGGAAGCCGCTCACGAGCATCAGGGCCCAGAAGAAGCGGCGCGGGGGACCACGCATCTGCATCCTGGAGGCCGTATGTGGGGAAAACAAGCACTTCTCCTGCGTGTGAGCGCTCTCCTCTCATGTGGACTTGTGGCGGCGCTCGACGCCGTGACTTGTGGAGCAACCTGTTGCCGAGCGGAACTGGGAGAAATGTCCTGTGCGTGAAGTGTCATCCTCCAGACACCTGATTGTGTGCAGCTACGAGGAAGTGAAGCAAGTTACTCATTTCTCAGCAGAGCTTCTTCGTGGCGGGGATTCCCTCTGCTCAGGTGCAGAGCGGCTACTGTATTTTTAATCCCGGGATCAAGGAAATTGATCAAATCCCTGCAAAGAATCTATTTATCTGACCCCCCATCCACGGAACAATCAGATATCTCAGGTTCACACTGTTTCTACAACAATGTACCAGTTCACTGTTACGTTCTTGGAAATCCTCTTTATGTTTTGTGCAACATTTGTCAAATATTTCTGTGCCATAGACGACCATTTGTATCACATCAGAATGCTGTTTTTTTTTATTCAACCCCTTGGAAATAAATTGGCTCGGCGCTTGAGTACCACACTCTCAACTCGAGCTTGAGGCTCCTCACAGACAGACAGAGACCCTCTGGACTGGTCTTCCAGCCTCCTCCACTCCACTTGGAGTGAACATGGAGAACCTGACATGCTCATCCCACAGGTCCACTTGATGCCCTTAAAGAAGCTCAATCCTGTGCCAGGCCTCTTGTTAACTTTACAGAGGAGCAACAGAAACATTACAAACCAACTTATGTTTCTTGAATATATTCTTAAGCGACCTTGTTATGAAGCACAACCTTCGTAATGAGCTCTTCTCTCTGTTGTCATGGAGATCTCCACCAGGCGTGTCTCCAGCGACCGCCGCTGAGAGACCTTTTGTGATGAAACCTCTGACAATGCTGTCCTCTGCTGGTGAGTTACAGCCAAACGTGTTGCACATGGCCTGCTGAAGGTCTCTGAGAAGATGACGCAGACGTTCAGACAGGAAGTGAGGTTGTGACGGCGCCACGGAGCAGTGAAGCGCGTCCAGCCAGAAGGCCCGTTGATCTGCTTCAACAGCGTTGGTGGCGATAAAGGTCTGCAAAGATCGTCACGTTTTCTTTCATGTTATTTTGATGCAGAGGACTTGAATCCTGGTGCAAAGATCCAGTGGGAAGATTGAGCGGCACGCTGGTCATGAACTTCCTGTGTCACTCATGTGAGCCACAAGCCCCTACGGAGATCAAACCTTTCATTTCAAAGTGAAACTCCAAAGACATGAGATGTGTTAAGCTGCTATGAGATTCAGAGGACCGGTGTGATTAACTGACACCGGCCTCCTGCTGCTTTACCGCTCGCACAGAGAATTCTCATCCGTCTGGTCTTTAGTGTTTCTGTTACCGTAATAGGCAACAAGAACCTTACAGCATTTCCTGTTACTCATTCCCCGAGTAGCATAACAGTTACTAGGGGGGAATTCCTTTCTTTAAGTCAAGTAATAAGCAACAATGTTTATACGGCTTTCACATATTTGTGTTTAAGATTATAACACATTCCGGCCTCTGCACACTAATATGTCAGTGAGCGTTCAGGAATATTGTATTTTTGTACCCTATGGTTGAATGCACTTATTGTACGTCGCTTTGGATAAAAGCGTCAGCTAAATGACATGTAATGTAATGTAATGTAATGTAATATGAGATATTGCAATGCTTGACTGCATAATAAATGCTTCATAATGTTACATAAATACAGCATTCTAAATGAGCTATAACTAAATTATGTTTATAGAAAGTGAGATTTGTAAGGTGGTCCTGGTAGGAAGCTCGGGAGGAAAAGCTGGAGTGAATCTTGAATCTCGAGAACAACCCTCCATTCTGGAGAGAATGTTTGTTTCTTTCTCTGTTTTACACAGACAGAGAACGTTCACGAGGTCAAGAAAAGACAACAAAAATGCAAATACATGTGTTGATTTTATTTTAAAAATAATCAGTCACCCAAAGAGTCTTAAAGTCACTTGACTGTTAAATGACCAATAAGATCGCTTCCTTTTTCATCTTTCCATTCAAATAAAAACCCGACATGAGTAACACAGCAAACCTTCATCGGATTAGTTCAGTGGCATATTAGTAAAGGTTTGATAAACAAACTGCTGATTAATGACTACATTAGTTTAAAGAAACAACATGGCTGTTTATTCCCTGGTTCATTCTCTGCCTCCACGCTGCTGTCACAGACTGTGAATCCAATCAGCACATCTGCAGACATTCATGCGTTTGTTCCCTGAATATTAATTTGTGGAGCCCTATAATGAAGTGCAAACACAAACACACAACCCTCCCCCCCCCCACACACACACACACGCACACACACACCGTGCTAAAATAGCGGAGCATGCATCACTGTCCCCCTGCAGGCCTCCACCCCCCCCCTCACAGCGGTTTCAGGGAGGAGGGGATGGGCAGTTCGTGCAGGTTGTCCGGGAAGGTCTCCGGGTTCAGCTGCCTCAGGACGGTCTGCATGGCGGCGAGGATGAGCGGAGCCGGCCTCCTCTCCGTCAGGTACCCGTAGGTCTCCTCGCCCAGCACCGGGGCCCAGCGGCCCGGCTCCCTGCGCAGGGCCCCCTTCATCTTAAAGCGGACCTTGGGCATGAACATGAGCAGGTGGTCCAGGCACTGCCTCCCGCTCGCCCCCCCCTGCCCGCAGTGCCCGAGTTTCTCCAGGAGGACGTCCAGGGGCGTGCAGCCGTCGCGGTCCAGGGCGTGCGGGGACGCGCCGCTCCCCAGCAGCATGACCGCCGCCTCGGGGCGCAGCAGCTCGCAGGCCAGGTGCAGCGGGGTGCGGCCGTCCTCCATGTGGAAACAGCCGGCCCGGTCGGCGCAGGAGGAGGCGGAGGTGGTGGAGGAGGAGGAGGACGTAGGAGGAGAAGGCACGCCGGCTATGCGGTGGCTCTCCTGCAGGATGAGGCCGAGAATGTAGCGCCGGTCGTAGCGGATGGCCATGGCCAGGTGCGGGGCGGCGGGCGACGCGCAGCGGCAGAAGCGCTCCCCGGGCCTCGCCAGCGCCTCCCCGGCGTACCGGTTGAGCAGGTAGCGCGCGTACGCCCGATGGTCGTGGACTATCGCGTAAAGCAGCGCCTCCGACGGGGTGTACGTGCGGCGGCCGGCGGCGTCGCCCTCCTCCCAGCAAAACGTCTCCATCGCACGCATGTCCTCCAGCATCCAGACCGGCTTCAGGTCCCGCACGGCCCGGTAGAAGAGCAGCGAGACGGACTTGCGATGCTGCTCGAAGCAGCTCCCTGCCGCGGAACCGATGGCCGGAGAGGCCATGGCGGCGGAGAGGAGCGGCCCGAGTTAAAAGTTCTGTCCGCAACGTCCCTTCATCGCTCCGGAACCACGGCCCCCAGAGCCGCGGGGCTCCGGGAGCAGACGCACATGTTGAGTTGTACGGGGAGGTCTGGGTGGGGGAGGGGGGGCAAGGCGCCCGTCTCCAACCTCACATTCCCGCACGGTCCTCCTTGACAGCTGCGGAATTCCCGATGTAGCTCTCTGCAGTATCGAGCCACTGCGCATGCGCCTCCAAAACTTTATTGACAAAAGCGATAGTTGTGACATCTTATTCAAACAATTCAGTAGCGTATATTAATGAATGAATGAATATATATATGAATGAATGAATGAATATATATATTAATGAATAAATGAATATATATATATGTGATTTTATATATGATATGATTTTATATTTACCTCTAGTTTCTCCAGCTCTTCTCGGAAGGACACCGCCGGTCGTCTTGTTATCTTGAGACTCGCCCTGACGAGAGCGCAGAGGGGCGGCGAGGGGCGATGCCCAAATCCCAATGTATTTTAGGACTCTGGAACTATGTGTCACTCATTAACTTTATCAGTGATTGGCTATCCGCCTCTTGGACCCGCCGCTTTGGGCCCGAGTCCAGCTGAGAAGCGGAGAGGACGTGCAGGAAAAGCATATATTCGGCGACGATATCGTTAATTTACAAATATTACCGGGTATGTTCCATATTTCAAAAACACAAATAGAGACATATTGACTATTTGTCAAATTTATTTTAAATATAATTAAAAGAATCTTCTTTTTTTTTTTGGGTGGGGCCACGGCCCATTGCCCTCTACACTGCTGATACGCCTGCAAATGCTCGTAAACTTGTGCTGATAAACAATGCGCAGGTTTTCTAATAGATAATCACATATCGCGACAGCGCAGACAGGCTGAAGGCAAAAGGAGAAAGAATTCACAATAAGGGGAGAGAAATGTGAGGTAATATTTTCCTGTAATCCTGGCGTCAGCAGATCCATTGCTTCAACGTTAGAATGAACAAAGAGAACTTTGTTGATATTAATTGAGGCGTCGAGTTGATGATAAAGTTAATGATAAAGAATTGAATAATTAACAGAAGTAATAAGCAATGCAGTTACAAAGTGAAATGAGGTGTGAATAGTATAATATTTCGCTCGTCCATATCTCATATGACCATATTGGTTTACAGGAGGCTTCTGTTTGCTCATTCAAACGTGTCTCCTCCCGGTTAGTCTCCCTCCCACATTCCTCTGAGTCTGCAGATTGGAACCTGGAACCTCTCTGTCTCATCTTATCGTGTCTTATCTTTCCCTCAACATTCCAATACATTCAATGAACATACCTGTGGCTTCAAGCCTCAGTGTGAAACATAACATAGCATGTATAATATCATCATCAGGTACACTTTAATAATAACACATCTTAAATCATCACAGCTCATCACATCTTAAACATTATGTTTAACTCAGTTCTCTATGGTCCAAAATCTGAATATTTTGCCTCGCTGTCCTACATCCTTTGCTCATTCACTACCTGACAGGAGGCAAAACGTCTCCACTTTCTACCGATATAAGACATCCGAACACTGGGATGCAACGTGTCCACTTTAATAAGCAAAAGCAAAAACGAATACGTTATGTTTCTGCAGCATTGAGTCATTGCAGAAACAGCTGGCTGACGTTTACTGCGTCAGTACCAACTTATTACATAAAAAGGATCCTTTCAAAGCAAACTCCCCCCTTAGAAGAAAGGTAATTATAATAGTAACGCTACACATGTCAGATATTATTTTCCCCTGTAAAGATGAGGACAGAAATCTTCTCTCCTGGGACGTTCCTCACTATGTGTCCCTTATGAAGCACATTGTACACAATGTACGTGAAGCTTTAGAGTTGTGTAGTAATCATCTTTGACCACACTGGGGCAGTGCTGGCTTACTCAATGTTACACTGTACTGTAGACGTCTAAGCACAATGATGTACAGATTCTAACAACATAGACACGCCTCACACTTTGTCTTCATGTCTCTCAGGTTGCCAGGGACACAGGATGGTAAAGATGTGATTAATGCAGGGGATGAGAAATACAACTGTTGATGCGACGATTCCCATTTCCACATGTGATGTCTTATCTAACCAAGGAAAGACACGTTAATGAAGGTGACTAAATGCTGTTATCGTAGTTGCTGTTGGTTCTTTGTCCACGATATGGGTGGTGAAGCCTCTGCGCCAGTAACATGAACTGAGGAGCAAAAGCAAGACAATTTATGGAGGACAGATGAGAAAAAGACACACAAGTAACTTTCAAATTGAGGTTGAAGGTTCATCCTTTAAAATATGTGTTTTGACAAAAGATTTTGTCAATGCAAGGAACCTCTTTCTCCGACGGTTATCAACAAGCAGACGTCTGACCCCAGAGAGCAGGGGTCACCTGCCGTCTGCCGAGGAAGGCCACGAGATGTGGCGGGAAGCTCAGGAAACAACGCGGCTTTCGAAAAAGACACTCAAGCTCCTCTTCTTCAAGAGCTTTCAATCCAAGGTTCCTCTGATTGGAGCTGCAGGGGTCTCGTCAGCCCCGGAAGAAGCCTGCGATTGAATTTGCGTTGGCAGGGTGGTCGGCTATGAGTCTCAGCTGTGACCGCGCCGCCTTTTATCTTCCGTAATCAGGCTCTTCTATTACGGCCAATTAGATGAGACGTCGGTTACGGTCGGCCCGACGAGCACTCCGGCACGCTCTGACATCGAACGCGAGCGTGCAGATCTGCGTGATTTCCATGCAAAGCGTCCGTTTGCTCCTCCCGCTAGTTAACGTGGCGTCTGGTGACCGCTGCTGCACACGGGGTCCGACTGAGGACGCAGAGGTCTGCTTGTCCAGGATCAGATGCTTACATCAGTCTGTGAATATCACAGCCTTCTAAAAGCAACATCCACCACAACAGACGTGGGATTTAATACTTATCAATGAATGTAGAAATATTTAGTGATAATTTACTCTAAATAATGCAGTATAAAAGAACAAATGGGTACAAAAGGGTAAAGGAGAGCGAAGGCTCTATTTGGTTAACAGAAAGAATTTCTCACATCGAACGCCACACAAAAAACTGAGTGTACAGTGATCATTATATTTCATTCACATGTCAATCAGGGCATGCAGTTCTTTAGTAGTTTTGGAGGTAGTAAATACTACATTTGGGGTTCCAAGCACCCTGATTACTGTCCATCCATCCTGATTGTTTGGATGTCAGTTGCGTTGGGAATGTCCGCCTTCTCTCCGATAAAACGGCGACGGAACTCAGTTTGTGGTGAAGCACTATAAATAAGATCCTTAACGTAACATCAGCTTATCCAGCTAACGTTATAATGTCTCCCCGGACAGGTGAGGAGGGAGCTGACGCGTTAGCAGCTTTTCTTTGGATGTCGGCACTTTTGGACCTTGTCTCCCAGGTGGAGGTTTGGCTCTTGAATTGATCGCTTCATTGATTTTTATCTCCATCAATGCTCCATCACGTCGTTCCCCCGAACTTGTAAGTAATCCCTGAATGAAACTTTAGTTAAATGAGAAGACGGGGGACCCACCAGGCGTAAACAATACCGCCTCCGGTCATAATCCTTGTGTGCACTGGTTGGATTTGGAGCTGCTTTGCTTCCACAACACGTTTTCTTTCATCAAAAACACCCGAATGTGTTTATTTTAATTCTTTAAGACCAAAAGTTTCCATTACGTGGATTAGATTAGACACCAAACTGTCCATATTATTTAGATTACTAAGAGGTGTGTTCAATTCCATTTAAACCTTTGAATAATATATCAACAAATCAAATAATAACATCCAATGTTAAGATCTCTATTCCGGAAATGAACAAATTAGCATGTTCTGTTTCACCCCTTTTTGACCTTTTAGTTTTAAGTTGTTTTTTTTGCAATGCTGACTCATAGCAGCCGCTGCCACGAGCCCCCTCGCAAAAGTTATTCAATAAAAGCAGCACCAAGAAATCGTCCTGGGTCTTTGCACAAGGAGGTGTTTACAGCCCAACGTCTGCTCTCACTTCGTTTGATGGGTTTTCCAGTTAAAGAAAAGTCTGCAGGGAGCCGTTTACATTTTTTACACTCTTCAAGGATAAAAGAAAAAAGAAGAACTCAGCCGGAACTGCTGGAAACCAATTATCTTGGCGCACCGTCTCCTGACCTGGCCATTGATTTAGGGGGGGGGACAACGACAACAAACAATCAGGTGCATCATAAACGGAGGGTTTTTGGATCAAAGGAGCACAGCGGGGGGGCATCACGGGATCTCGTCCACGCATCTGTCCTGCACTTTGCTGGTATCCATCTGAATCACACATAGGCAGGTGATGTGTTGCCACGACAACCTACTTTGTGCCGTGGCTTAAAGAGTCGAGCGGTGTGAAGTTAAAAGCAAACGCGAGGAGCAAAAATAAAAAGCTTTATTTGAACAAATGTGAAGTGAATCTGCAGTGTGGAGTGTGAGGCCTGTGGTGCAATGTTAATTAACATTACAAAGGCCAAACCCCCGGCGCCTAAATCGAATGCAGAGAAGTACTGCAGCAGACTGGAGGACCCTAAAGAAGCGGTGGGAAGCAGCTTTAGGTTCCTCTGAGTTGACCGGCCCAGCTGCTCCGCGGGTCACATGATCTCACGGAATCGCCCCCCCGTGATGATGTGCAACTCCTCCAAAGCAAAAGCTAAATCCTGCGTCGGCCTGCTCTGAACCTCTCAGCTCCGTATTACACCCTGGATTATGTTTTGTGACCCGGCCGAGATCTTCTGATGTCCCCTTGGGTTAACGTTCCATTACTGCAGACGGTGATGGAGACGGTGATGGAGGAGCAGAGGATGGACTCCATGATGGCCGGGGAAAAGTGAACCATCAACGTCTTTGGTAGGTTGAATTTCTTCAGCTGCCTCAGGAAGAACAACCTCTGCTGAGCCCTCTTGGTGACGGAGCTGATGTTCAGCTCCCACTTGAGGTTCTGGGTGATGATGGAGCCCAGGAAACGGAAGGAGTCCACAGAGGTGACGGGGGAGGGTGGGACTGCGTTCTTCCTAAAATCTACAACCATCTCCACTGTCTTCAGAGCGTTGAGCTCCAGGTTGTCCAGATGATCAGACTCCCACCTGTAGGCGGACTCGTGCTGTTTGTGTACAGGGAGAAGAGCAGAGGAGAACCGGTGCTGATGGACCGAGAGGCTGAGACTTGTTTCCCCAGCTTTACGTGTTGTTGAAAGCAGAGCTGAAGTCCACAAACAGGATCCTGGCGTAGGTTCCTGGGGAGTCCAGATGCTGGAGGATGAAGTAGAGGGCCATGTTGGCTCTGTAGGCGAACTGCAGGGAGTCCGGACCGGCTGCTTATGCCGGGTTAGCCTAGCTTAGCATTAAGTGGGGAAAACTATTTTCATGTATTGCCACAGAAAATGAAATGTACAAGTTGCCCGTCGTCACTGCAGCAACGCACCCGTGCAGGCTGATGTGCACACACATTCATAGCAATCACGGGTTTAAAGGCCGCTAATGCACGCGGTAAAGGAGGTCGATGGGTCCAACGCGCTGGGATCTCTCCGCCAGGTTACGACGGTTTAGTCAGTCAAAAGGTGAGCGAGGAGAAAGAGATAATGATGGCAGAGATAATGAGACACAGTATTCCTCTGGGTCACGCTAAGGTCATTTGCATTCCTAAAAGTGTCTCCATTAGAGCCGTAACTCAGCCGTCCGTGCAGCCGATAAGGCCGGGATGCCTTGGTCTCCCGGGAGACCAAGGTCGCAGGAGATACGCCGGCCTTTATCCCAGACGGACCGTCTCCGCTGTGAATGAGCCGCCCGAGGGACGCGCGCGTGTGACACAGTGGGAAAGCAGAGCTTCTGGTTTCGGCTCGAACATCCAACAGAATCCTCCCACACATTTATATATGTATGAAACTTGAGTTATGAGAAGGGCCGTGGACACGCGGCGAGCCTCCGGAGTCTGGTGAAAGGTTAAATAAGTTCACCTGCACCGCACAAATCTATTCCCTCTGATTAAGCTTCAATAAAAGCCTCCTTCCGTTACCAGTTTACCAGCTCTTTTTCTAATTGGAGTTCCGTGGCCTCTCCGTCAGATACGTTCCGTTCAACAACCTGTCAGGAGTGTAGTGGCCACATATTGGAAGTGACGGAGCATTCTAAAACAATGAGGGAGATATTGGATATTGTTTTTATGTATAAAATCCTCTTCGTTTGAGCGCCGACGGAGACAAACAAAAATAATAGCTGTCACAAAACTGCAGGAATCGTTGAAAAAAAAAAAGAATTGCAGATTGTTTTTCCCGATGTGTCACTGGTGGTTTCACAAATGCTGAGTGCCTCAGACGCTCGCTCAGGCAGGGTGACAGCTCGTCAAGGTGACTGACAGGTGCCAGCGGAGTGGAAGGAAGGCGGGAGGAAAATACGTAAATAGAGCAGCATTTATTTTCATTTTTGCTCTAGTTGTGCTCAGCAGCCTTAAGATTTTGACTCTCGCCATTTAATCAATTGATTGGAGGATTTCATTAAAGCGGTTATCGGCGGCTCAGCGATTGGATGGTTGAGGAAAATAACTAGCTAACTATTCTGTCTCGGAGGATGATCTTTCAATTTAAAGCAGATGAATATCCGCTGTCTGGCAAAGCGACCTTCATACCTGCAGACAGGAGTTAACATCATGTGTTGCCATAGATACCTAAATTGCTTTGACGTAGAGGCAAGACAAAGCCATGGTGGCGACCTGTCAATCACAAGTTATTGGCCCGCCCCACCACCTACGCTTTCTGCTCATCTCTGCAATTACTTTGATTATTGCTGCTGGCGTGCCGCTCTAGTAGCCCACTCGGCTCTCCAAAGCTAAAATACAACCACACGTGGCACCGTGGCACCGTGTGTGCACCTCGACCGGGTCAGAGGTCGGAGCGGGTCGTCCCTCAGCTGTTCAATCCCCTGGCCCATCCTTCCACCATCCTCGGCTCAACCTGGGGAGGCGGGAGCAGGATTAGGAGGGTATTCCAGAAGGATCCCTCCCCAGATTCACTTTCCCGCCCATCTTCGGGAAGCCGGAGGCGTTCGCAGGCCTGCTGAGATGTGTAATCCCTCCGGCGTGTTGGGGGTCCACTCGGGGGCCCCTTACCAGTTGGGAGGAGTAAATAGAGAGCTCCGTTCCCTCTTCACACCCACAACGTCTATTATCAATACTGATTGACAGTCATGTATGAATTGAACAAATGAATGGATACAATTCACCCCGGTTAACATTTTTATTTGCAATTAAATTGGCATTTTGCAAATCCAATCCACTTTCATTACTGTTTTTTATATCGCTCTTCCTCCTTGAGGGTCTCACGTTGATGATGACTTTTTTTAATTTATAACCTTTTTTTTTGTTTTTGTTTATTTATAGTCCCAACATAACCTAAATGCAGCAGCTCTGACATCACATGGCTATCGCAGGAGATTTTTCAGTTTTATTTTAGCAAAACATTACATATTATTTGAACAACAGTAACATCTTTTACAGCTCGGGGTACGACGTGAGCAACAACACTGTAACAACACAGTGGAGCTGCTGCTGCTCCCCTCTTCCACTGCCTCACATATTCCAACTGGAGTATGGTACGGAAAAATAATCCAATATATAGAGACACTGTACACGCGCAGTCATATCAGAAATATCACAAAAAAAGTCATTCGGACCCCACGTGAGAAGTGACAATATGGGTGTTTACACAGGACTGAACTGCTCATGGATCCGTTGGGCAGAAACATGCAACACCAGATAAATAGAGCAAACAACTTTGTGTTGTTTAATAAAAACGTTCTGGACAGTAAACTTTCATTAAATAGGTTAATTAATACATATTTAAACCCTTATAAAAACCCAGATCTCCTCCTGATGGAACAGGTTCTATGAACCTTTGACCTTGAGGGGATCAACCAGCTGTCAAACATTTGTATGCACCATTTTCTTTTATTCTGTATACCTAAAACTCACTGACTTGGTAGACAAAATGAGAGCATCAGTGACTGGACTTGTATTTTTTAAAGATACTCAACAAGTAGCAACTTCACACCAAATGAACGTAGTGTGTAAAGGATAATTCTGGTTTTATACAACTTGAACACATTGCAATAGAAAGGGGTCGGCTGTGCTCATGCTGTCTTCTGCATCTGGACGTAGATGGACAAAGCGTCCCCCCGCTTCCTCCCGCTGTAGAAAAAGTGGAGCCAAAGTATCTCGCATACGGAAGCTGCCATTTTGGATCCAGAGCTGCAGTATCGAGGCCCCGCCCACATGCCCGCCCCCCAATCCACCGCCTGTTAGCGTGAGCCGGCTTGCTGCTACATTAGCACCACAGTAGCTGTTTGGCTAGCAAGATACGGCAACTGCTCTTCATATCGCTACAAATCCACATGTGATCAAAGCTAACCAGTTGTAATGAACCAGAATTATCTTAACACATTTATCCTGATTGAGCTTTTGGCCAATGTTCAGTGACGACGCGGCGAATGCGTCTTTTGAAAAAGAAGCTTTCAATGAACAACACTAAACTCCATAACACACCATTCATTCCTCTACTAACAAATATACACAAACTAAATAGTCTTGGAACATCCTGCCCATTGCACCACTCTCTGCTTCAATATTTTGGCATTTTTTAAACAATTAAGTCTTCACATACAATACAGTCATAGTTTAAGAGATAATGGGGTTTTTGAATCTATGCAATCACAGAAAATTTCATATGATGAGTTTATTATTATGATTATTGAGTGACCCCCTCAAATATATGCTCTGTATAGAAAGTAAATATATTCACATACGGCTTTGTCAATAAATGTTTTTTCTTAAATCTTCATGAATCAAAGCATCACATCTACGTATATTTACTTCACCATTGTGTCGGAGGAGGTTCAACTGCATCAGTAGGTAACTGGCATGAGGATGAATTTACAGTAGCAGAATTTATAGTGTAACCACTGGTCAGGCCTTGATTCTGTGTCAAGGCAGAAACCAGCAAGGGACCAATCGGGTTTGACCAGCGAAATAAAAAATCTAAAACTCCATACACACATTCAATTTATACAGAATAATAGCTGTCCATGTGCATGATCAGATAACCAAAAGCACGGCTCCGTCGTTTCCCCTTTGGCCCTTTTGAAGCCAACCGACCATTTAAATCCGTCTCTGTACAAAGTGTGGGCCAAAACAATCCAACGGTCTTATTCCAGAAGTTTGCTTTTGGCCGTGACTATAAAGACCCGTCGTCCTGTCCCACTCGGGTCAGGGGACGGGATGAAAGTGAGCGTGCTTCATGCAGGACAAAGGCTGCGGTCTGTCTCGGCGTCGCCGGTCCTTTTGGCCGGTCCTTTTGGCCGGTCCTTTTGGCCGGTGTTTGGCGGCGCGGCGGCCCTCCGTCCTCCCTAGACAGTACTCTCCATCACCCAGTCGGCGCCGTCTATCGTCCCCTCGCTCCCCCCCGTGTCCCCCTCCTCGTCGCACTGCAGCAGCATGCCGTTCACAGACAGGCTCCTCCTAGTCCAGATGCTGCCGATCCGGCGGGATTTGCCGGACAGCTGAGCGGCGCCGGCGCCCGTAATGTCTCCCATGTCGAAGGACTGGCTCCTCTTTGGCTTGGAGTCCAGCGGTAGCATGAGGAGCCGGCTGAGCCTGGAGTCCAGCGTCCGGCCCAGCAGCGGCTCCTTGTCCGCGCGGCCTTTCTTCGCCGAGGCCGCCGCGCCGCAGGCGCCCCCCGGGTCGCGGCCCTGCGCCCCCCGCAGCTCCAGCTGGGACAGGGCCCCGAGCAGGTGGTCCAGGTTGGACCGAGGCTTGGAGTTCGCTGACCTCCAAATGTTGGCAAGTGTGCTGTTGGGGCTGTACTGGCCCCCCGCCACGGAGCCCGAGGACGAGGAGGACGAGGTGAGGCTGCTCTGCAGGGAGCCGCACTTGAATTCCACCACCTCGTCCTTCAGGGCCACTTTGGCCTTGACCCGGGGCTCGGGCTGAGACGGGGGCATGAGGAGCCCGTTCTGCCCGACGCGCCCCCCGTTGGTCTGCGAGTGCGTGTCGATGACGCTGGTCAGTTTCCCCGCCGGGGGCTCCGTGTCGGCGGCCTTGTAGCGCAGCATGAGGATGACGATGAAGACCAACAAGGTTGCTACGATGATGCCCCCCACCACCAGGATCATGGTGCCCCCCAGCAGCTGGCTGGGCAGAGACTGGCACTGAGGGTAGTCGTCCTGGGTGATGAAATGGGTGCAGCCCACCACGTTGGTGGCCGTCAGCGTGGTGGCGGTGTCGTCCCAGGCGGCCAGCACACACAGATCGTAGCGGGTCCCCGACACCAGATTAGTGACCAGGAACGCTTTGCTGGAGGCCGGGATCATCCTGAAGACAAAGACGGGGCAAAACCAGGCAGTTTAATTACCCTACTAGGGAAGGGAGGTCTTCCTCTGTTGTAAATGTCTCTCTCAACGTCTCAGAAGCAGCTCTGAAAACCAAGAGGGATCATGCAGTAAATGAACCATGATTGAACAATCGGCATTTGACCAGGGCGCACATGTCATTTTAAACACAAGCCTTTTCATTAAAAGAGAGTCAGGCTTTTTATTTGCATTGCACAGAGTTCCTCTCCACTGCTTAGCCTCTGTTGTGGCTGCTTTATCGGACAGCCAAGAGTAATTGGCGTTATCTCTCACAGCCATCTGTCATGCAGCAGTGAACAGAGGGTCCATTTGATATTGGAGCTTCGGAGCAGCGATAAATAAATAAGCAGACAGCGAGCGAAGCACATTCTGTGTGTGCGAATCCAGCGAGCCTCCGACTGCCCCGAGGAGAGCGGCTCAGGGGCCAGATGACCGCAGGTTGTACCGTCGCAGTTACAGCTCACGCCAGCTCCTTAAGTGATACCGCTGGCTCATGTCCGGACACAGATCCCCCTGCAGGGAAAAGGCCGAATCCTTCGCAGAAAGTCTGCCAGCTGGGTTCCGGCGTTTAGCTAAGACATAATAAAACACCATTCCACCTTGTGTTTGCGGCGTGGGGCCGGTGTGATGTCGCTTCCTAAGGAGGGCTTATTGTTGCTGATGTGGTTGTTAGTGCTTCCACACAGCCGGGAACTCGCCGCGTGAGCGAACCACACAGAGTTCATTATTATTATTGTTATTATCTCTGTGGATGGGGCCCTCAATATCTTTAGAGCACAAATACCTGCTGATAATGAAAGAAAACACCTCGTTTTCTACAGCGTGGGACCTTTAAAGGGGTGTTTTGTCGTTTAGTTTGAAAGATTTCTTCAATGAAGACGTAGTAGTGTGCAGGAATCTCTGCATTGGCAATTTATCTCACATCGTGTCCGAAAGGACGTTTATCTGACAGGCGACAAGGATCGCAGATGGGTTCGACCTCTGTGTTTTTTCCCCGTCCCAATTAGTCCCCACAGCTCAAACAAAAAGAAGCCGCTTTCCGATGAAAAAGTTCCACTTGTCCAACTTGTGCTACAGTTCATTAGACGATTATAATTGGCTGGCTGCCGGGTTCGGGAGTGAAATTCTTTTGCCTGGTGATTCTTTTGGTGTTCGCAGCTCGCCTCCTGTGCCGAGCTCTAATTGATTTCAGGTTGTCCGCGCGGAGCAGCTAATTCATTTTAATTCATGTGAACGTAGCCGGAGTCCAAAGAAACCTCGGCCAATGCTTATCACGGGGAGATAAAAAAAAAAAATGGTTTGCCCCCCTTCGGGCTGCGAAAGGAAATTTGTCGAGTGGCCTGCTGATGGCGGTGCGAGGCCGGAGCATTAATCAGAGGGAGGGGGAGAGGAGACACAGGAGGAGACACAGGAGGAGACACAGGAGGAGACAGGCTTCGATCCTTTGAGATTTGCCAAATATTTGTCAGATGCTGTTTTCGACATTCCACATTTTTTCTCATCTAAAAAAAACAAAGAGTTGCTCCGCTTGCCTGCTTCCTGTCCTCAAACGATAATTCCCGAGCTGCATTCTTTTCCTTTTCGTTCAGCCGCACAGAACAGCTGAGCGATGATTCAGTCTCGCTGCCTGATTTGTAAAGGCTTTCTTGCCTCCGGACGAACACAGACAAGGTCACGCCAAATGGTCTCGTGCCCCATCGATTCAGCCCAAACTTCCGGGTTGCTGCTGGGAAATTTGATTATGCTCATGTAAGCAAAACGCCTAACGGTCTGTCGCTGGCCGGCACTCACTCTCAGACTCTGCAGCTGCATTGTGGAGGATTAAATGGGCCGTGGCATTGTTCGCCGTCTGTGCCCGTGCCCGTGAATGTCAGCCGGTTGCAGTGAAACGCCCCTTCGGTCTAACGGCGATGGATGAACGCATCGGGAAGAGGAAGGCGTGGCTTAAAGCGCCGGCAGCTTAGGCCTGCGGTTTGTTTTAAATGTCTCCGCTTGAGATAACTGTGATAACACCGAGCCGGCACTCCAGCGAGCCTTCATGCCGCTCTGGCAGCGGAGACCATCCTGGCTCGGGCACGAGTGCACAACGGCCAACATTCACAGCCGGGAAGAAATGAAGTGGCTGGAAATACAAAAGATATCGTGGAATCGAATAGCGGCGTTTACCGACTGGCGAGCATTTTCTGCACGAGTTCATCTTTTTCAACTGGTTGTGTTACTGTAAGAATTGAGAGGTTCGGACTCCATTGCAAAAGGTGCAGCGGGATTCAGTACCGATACCAGCAAACCCTTTAAAAAGACGTGAAACCCTTATGGAAAAGTATAAACTTTATAGTAAATATTATTAGATGATTCTTCTTGGGTCTGAGTAGAAAGTTATACCCCTTTCATGAAAGTTTTTTTTGTCTTATATTATCTTCATGTAGAAATCCTCATCTGCAACGTCACTGGAAATGAAAGCTGTCCGATAAATGAAGTGGATTAAATAGTTCAACCTGTCATTCCATTGTAGCATGAACATGTCAGTAAGATATTAGTAGATCAAAGTACAATGCACTCACTTACTTTCCTCGGAGGTTGTTTTACTGCTGAGACGCCGCCTGAGAATGTTGTGATTTGTTTATGCGCTAAGAGTTTATTTTTGATCCTCTTATGCTTCTCTGACCTGACGCTCACAAACCAGAACGATCCAAAGTCTCGTTCGCTGCCAAAATGGAAGTCGTGGCCTACTTTTTCTCTGTAAAGCCGAAATGCACTTCCTTGGAATCCGACGCACACACTTCATCTCTGACTCTCTCTTTGCAAACTGTCCTCCGGGGATTTACAGTTTCTTCCTCTGTAGATGAACTCTGAACTGCTGAAGTCTTTGCTGAGTTGGCCTCGGCTGGAGAAAGACACCGATTATCACCTCCGTCACCCCGCCAGCGCTCACACTTCAGACATTATAATAAGAACGTGGCTGGCTTCACCCACGTGGTGAAGTGGTGTATTTGAGGCGGTGGTTTTTATGTTTCACGTTGTGCTGCTGCAGTTTAGTCTGACGGTATTTTTTTTGTGCATTCTACAAATATCCAGCTGCATGAGCGATAAAATGAGTACGTTTGTAAATGGAACCACCATTTTTCCATTTTGCAGCGTTATTTCGGTACGTAATTCATAAAACAGGTCACGTCAACCCCACTTTCATGCCACTTTTTCTTTTTGCTCTTCATGCTAAATGTCACCTGACCTCTTTAGTGGCGTCGTGCACGTTGTGACTCCGTACGTCCACATTTTGCTCCTTACCGAAGAACACGCAATCTTTCTCTTGAGCGCCTCCTGCAGCCAGCTTGATATTTTAAAATAAGCCGGTGTGTTATTTGATTGTCAGAGCTGTGATCAATAGCCAACTTATGCTTTTCCCTATAGGAGCCACGACGGTCTCTTCAGCTCAGCTAATACCCGGTAATGTGGGCCGGAGGATGGTGCTTTCAGCGCTGACATGCATCTCTGTAACAGAATGAATCCCATGACATGTGACACCGTAGCCATTATGTGGTTAAGTATTGCCCTGCGCATCTCCATTTTAGTGACATATTACTGACAGGCTGCAGCTGACGTGTAGCTTCCATTATCACGGCTGCATGAGGAACCACAAAGAGACTCATCCATTTCTACACCAGAGGTGGATATAATGGGACCCTTTGGATTTAATCAAGTAACCTTTTTGAGCAAATTGTAGTTCTTAAAGTAGTTTGAACTCAACACACTCTTCTTCACTCCAGCGGTCTACATTAGGGGAAAAGAAATTATGCCTTTTCCACTTTTTAATGGTGCAACAGATGGCCGGTGTGCTGAAGTGGCTTTCCATTGAGGTAGTCACGCCCCTTCAGAAATAATAATGGATGAAGCTGTAACAAGATCCAAATGAGATGGAACGACTAATGCGTTGCATCTGTGCAGTGGTATTTAGGACATTCATGTCGCTCAGTGAAGACCATTCTTCCTGTTTTTGATGGATTCAGAGACGATAAATGAACCTGTTGGATCTGAAGACTCGGGTCAAAGGCCAAAGCTCCACATACGCCAGTTTCCACTCGTGTTACCTTACTTCCCTTTAGTCAATGTTGACGTTGGGGTTTACATACTTGCATTTTTATTTAAAACCCTTCTGTTTCACATTAAGATTGCAGACATCTGCCACACAAGGTTCTGCTCGATGCTCCTAATGAGCCAAATCCTCTTTATTTATGATAAAACACCAGAGCGGCTGCATATTCATTTGAAGGAAAGATGCACACTAACGTGCAAAATATCAACCTTACTGCCTGTATTCACTTAACACACACACACACACAGAGGGATATGTGTATTTAAATAAATATATATAACAACATGAATCATTCCGTATATATTCCAGCACCTTGTGCCCTCGGCAGCATCGCACTTTTGTCTCATTGTTTAAATGTCAGCTGTTATAGATCTATCAGAGGAGGCCGGTTGATAGAAGCAGTGCAGGTTGCTTCCGAGAAAACAGATCTCATTATCATTCATATGAAAGGTTCGCTCTTTTCTTTGGAAAGACAATTTTGATTAAACGTTTCAACAAGAACATCTGTGGGGAAGGCAAGGAGGCGGCGGTCAGAGAGGAACAGCTCATATATTAATTTAATGCATTTTTTTTCTCACTGAAACTCACCTGTTGTTTCTATTAGTTCCGTGTAGCTTTGAAAATATGTTGAGTGTAAGCTGTTTGAATGTGTACATGACATGAAGGGTGCCTATCATATCATAGCATCTTTTTTACATTATTACATATTACAAATATATTTCAAATTAAAATGTTTTATGCAAGAACTGAAAGGCTGAATAGAATTCATTACATTGCTCCAGAGTTGTGCTGTATATTCATATAAAGGTCTGAAAAACACTCGTCCGGCATTTGTATCTGTCTCTAACAAAGAAATATAATACGCTTCATAATGAAGAAGAATATTGCAACAATGGGGGTGGCCACCGCCCTGCGGCTACAGCTCTAAATATCTTGCTTTCCACAGTTTTGAGGAGAGATTTATATGACATTAAGTAATTGGATTTTTTTCTGGCTGGTTTCACACTCGCTTTGGAGGCTGTGGCTGTGCAATAGAAGCTTCATCTAATACAGTTTCATCCACATCAACGGCTGCCGGATTGACGGAAACGGCCCAGAAATTGCCCTTCTGGTTCTGGACTGCTGAACACAATCGAGCGCAGCAAAGCACGGCGATGTGCTTAGTGAGGGTCACGTGAGGAACAGGTGAGCTGCGAGGGAGGGGAGGTGTTTTTTTTACTGCTGTCAATCAACTCTAAGTGTGTGTGTTTTGCATGTGCACTGATTCCACGGGAAAGTGTTGTTGTTGTTGTCACACTGCAGCCTCTAAATAGACATTGTTCAATGTTTAGGCAAAATGCATCCATCTCTTTGTGTGCTGGGCCTCCCATTCAGACCCCCCCCCCCCCCCTCCAAACACAGCTATTCTCTTCTCAGTGACAGTAATGAAGCACTGATGCTTCCCTCTACAGGACTTATAGGTCAGCATTTTAGTTGGAAACTTCAACTTCTCACTTTTAAAGCTTTTCAGGTGCACGAAGCTAAATTTAAACTAAATCCGTGGGTGACAGTGACAAACGTGCTGTGTGCATCTTTGGGGGACGGTTTCACTTTCAGCAGTGCAGCCTCCACACTTCTCAGGCATTTTATAACTTATGTGCATAACAGATAACCTTTTAGAGAGCATGTAACCAGCTACATAATAAGATGGCAAAATTAAAATGTATATCTTAGGAATAAAGCTTGATGAAGAGTTTTGACCACCTGGGAGGCAGCTGACCAAGCAGTGAATACATTATTTACTTTCACTTATTTGTGTATTCATTATCTTCCACTGAGAGCTGTGTTTCTGGCCACATTATGCATTGTCCAACAGATACATTCTCAGTTCAGATTTGTTCTACATCAACTCCTAAAAGAAGAGATGTTCACCAGCTGGTTCCTCACTTTGCTTTGGTGCTGCGTAGGCAGCGGGCGCCACGGAGAGGAAAGAATATGCAAGTGTTTACCTGTAAATCAGAACCTCGTCATCGGAGCAGTTGTACTGGAGCTGGTACATCTTCACCTTGGGGGACGATTTGCTCACCGTCCACTTGACCAGGGCTGAGACGGCCGTCACCTCAGAGACGGACACGGTCCTCTCCGGCGGGCTACTGGGAACGCCTTTGCTGATCCTGGTGGTCCCTGTGATATCGGAGAGACGGGACTTTGGCGGCGCCGGCTGCCCTGTGCCGTTGCTGAGGTGGGGCAGCTGAACGATGGACACCTCTACGGAGGCGGTGGACTCGCCGGCCACGTTGGCCGCTATGCAGGTGAAGGTGCCGTAGTCCTTGGACGTGGTGATGGTGATGCTCAGGGTTCCGTTGCTGTACACTGCGGTCCGGGACGAGTTGCCAAGCAGACGATCCTCAGGGGAGATCCAGTGGATGGTGGGCAAAGGGTCTCCGATTGCTTCGCACCTGAGGCCGGCGGTCTGGCCCTCCAGGACCAGCATTCTGTGGGTGTGCTGAGTAATGAGAGGGGGCTGACACACAAACTCCTCCTCCTTCACGTTCCAAAAGTAGCGGCCCTTCAGGGTCGGAGGGGAGGCACAGGTTTCCAGGTCGTCGTCTCTCTCGAGCCGCCTCAGCCACAGCATCTCGCAATTGCAGTGCAACGGGTTTCCGCCTATACTGAGGGACAGCTGGGGTGCGTAGGGAGTAGTCAGCATCATTGAGTCCTGGGCGCGGGCAAAGATGGGGTCCGGGGGAAGCTTCTGCAAGCGATTGGAGGTCAGGTCCAATCTCGCCAGCCTGTCAAGGTCCGTGAAGGTGCCCTCTGGAATGAAGTCCAGCAAGTTGTGGTCGAGACTCAGCTGGTGCAGGTTTACCATCTGGCGGACAGAGTGCCAGGGCAGAGACACCAGGTTGTTGTAGGAGAGATCCACGTCCTCCAAGGAAGGTGCCAAGTCCTCAAAGGCCTTGTCGTGGATGCGTCCAAGTTGGTTGTTGTTAACGATGAGGTGCTGCAGGTTGACCAGGCCTCTCAGGTCATCGGGACCAAGCTCGGTCAAGCGGTTGTTGTCCAGATGAAGAGAGCGCAGAGTTTCTAAGTCGCCAAAGGAGAAGGGCTGAATGTAGCTGATGGTGTTCCTGGAGAGGGTCAGGTCCACCAGGTCGGTCATATTGGCAAAGTCCTGCTGAGTAATGCGGAGGATGTAGTTGCCTCCCAGCCGGAGCTCCACCGTGCTGCGGTCAATGTCCGGAGGCACAAAAAGAAGGCCTTTGGCGGGACACAGCGTCCCCAGGGATTCGGACAGATTCTGGCATACACAGTACTTGGGGCATGCACAGGTGGTCATCACTGTGGCTCCCAGGACCAGCAGGCAGTAGATGATGTGGTCCATGGTAGAGTCATACATGGGAACCTGGGTGAGAAACAGAAAAACGAGGGATGAGAAAAAAGAGGGATGAGTTCAAAGTCAGTTTTTGTATCCTTTTCATCTGTATCATCAGTCAGACTCTCTGCTGTCCTGATATTCTCCAGTACTGCGTAGCCCCCCGTGACTAAAGCGCCAGATCAGAAGCAGAACTGTGCTGGCTCAGCTTTAAAGCGCCCAAGGGGATGCAGCTGGTTAACAGGAAACCCGGAGGGGGGTGGGGGGAATATTACAGCCATACTGTATGTTACTGCATTCGCAAGTTGGAATCTTTGTGCGGCGGGCCAAATATATGAGCGTATAAATAGCAATTTCTCTAAGAAATCACATATTGATGTGCAGGAAGAAAGTGGCGTGAATCGTGTTACCAAAGGACGTATAAAGCATCAAGATAGTGAAATTCTACTCAAAACAACATCTTTTCTACAATGAACGGCATAGATTTTGTATTATCGGCCCCCGGGGACCCTGAAACAGCTACTATCTGCGACGTCATGTGACCGACATCCCTTTCCTCCGGGTGGATCGGTCATTCGGGTGTTGATAATTGTGCAATCCCGATGCAGTCCTTTGATGGGGGAATAAATACAGTGCTCAGAGACGAGGGGTGAGCTGTAATAGCCGGCCGCCGGCGGGACTGTGGTGATAAGCGGTGTTTTTATGGGATTTATGTCATAAATTAACATATCTCAGTAGTCAAATGAAACCGGGGCATTGCAGCCTACTACGTTTGCGACAGCCTCCCCCCTCGTTAGCCCACTTTTACTGGAGAGACAACGACACACCTGCTGTTCTATTTATGCATTTCTCTTTTTTTTTTACTGGCCATAACGTCTGTGACACACGGTGTAATAACTCCGATTTACACTTCATTTCATGCAGCGCCATTATTCAATGGTATTATTCGGGACACAGATGCAGATGAAACAAAATAAACAGAAGGCTGTCCCAAATGAACTGAGATTATCCCCTCTTTCATCGCTGCCTCACACCCACACGTGGATGCACACATCTGCACACTCGCACAGATGGTTGCACACACCCACACTCAAATGTCCCAACGCGATCCACCTCTGAGCGACTCAAACTGCACGCGAGGTTCTCTGCAAAGACCGCCTGGTACGATGAGCGCGAGGATCTACTGGTGAGGAGCACATAGACTAGGTCTTGGTGCATTTTGGAACAAGGGTCGAGCGTCGTGCTAAACAGCTGATGCAAAACTAATAATGTCGAACGGAGATAACGTCTTTTTTACCGTGTTACCGCAAACTGCATCTGTAGGAAACCAGGAGGGGCTGCTAGAAGGCTGAAGAAACTGATCCTCCCAGTTTAATATCTGTGCGTATCCGATATGCGACTATTAAATAAATGAGTAGTTTCCTGTGAAGATGTGAGGTTTATTTTGAAAAAAATAGTGTAAATCGGAGATCACACATTTTGATGTCTCTGAATCAATATTAGATGAAGAAAGGGAAATGTAGTACCCAAGGACGCCAAAGCCATCAACCTGTTCACATACGTCGTTTGCCATTGATCGGGTGTTTGGCCCCCAAACCTTCAGCGTGGACTGTAGGACACGCTGCGAATGACCTGCAGGTGCTTCAGAATGCGCTGTCAGGGCCTGAGGAGCGACGCCAACGGGGAGCGGAGTGTCGAGGAGGCGTGTTCGGTGAATCATCGCTCGGCGGAGGACGGATTGGCGCGGAGGTCGGGGAGTTAGCAAAACGAGATCTCTCCCGACAAGCAGGGGCGCATGGGGGGGGGGGGGCGAGGGGGGGGGGCGCTGTAAACTCCCTCCTTAACGCGGCCTGGGACCTCGGCGTGAACACTCATCACAGCTGCTGACGGATGCCGCTGGACCTCGGGGGCCACCGGGCCCCCGGCTTTTTAATGCTCCGTCTGGTCCGAGGTGGTCGGGGCGGGGGGGGGAGCACTTATCTGAGCACAGCCAGGCCCACATGGTCCCCGAAGATAGACTCGGGAATACGGGGCTCAGACAATTTCGCTACTACTTCCGTACCATTGTGAAAGATTTAAGTCAATATTGAATTTCCTCCACATTCACAGCTTCCCCCGACTGCCTTATGCAAGCTGAAATTTCATTTCAGCGCAGCTCCGTAGGGTATGGACTTTGCACGGACGGCAGCTGGGTTTGAATAGCAAAGCGGACGGAGGAAAAAAAAGAAAAACATACAGAACCGCAGTGTGTCTCCTGGTAGCACAATACATCCAAAAAAATGAAGTAAAGTAAAATGGGAACCTGGATCCCAAGGTGCCTTCACTGTCTGGTTGAACCGTTACCAGCAGATGAATGTGGGCGCTAAAGCTACTTATCCAAGCTCTGTGCAAGGGGAGTCACAGAAGATAACTTGCTGTCCTCGTATCACAACTAAAGGGCTTTTTTAAATGGTAAACTTTGTACAGGTGCGAGTTTGTATTGCAACAAAGTTCCATTCAAAGTTGGAGGACGGCGGATACATCCGGCTCTCAGATCGTATCCACACACGAAGTTCAGCTCAGAGTTTCAGTGCGTATCTTTGCAGAACAGCTCCAACAATTGCTCTTCATTTTAGATCGCTTAACAGCGGGCTTTCGCTTTAATTCCCCCTCTTGGAAATGTGCTCTGGGGGGCCTGTGAGTAAACCAACGCGACGTCGGGGGGGGGGGGGGGGGGGGGCTGAAGTCCGCCTGTACATTACTGCAGCACCGCGAGAAGCCACATCACAGGAAGTCAGCGGAGAATCGATTTTCAGTTACTCTTTAAAAGGTGAACCATTGAGTTCTCTGGGAAAGAAATAGATGTTTTCTCTCTTGTAGCAAAACACCGTGTTTTCTCCTGGCGACCCAACAGACACGAATACCCACTTTTATATGTAATTATATTGGTTTGTTTTTCATTTCATGCCTCCTGCTTTTCAGATTGCATGTTTGTCAGCTGCAGCCGGCGCACACAGCGGCCCGCGAGTGGGCCGGGGGAATGTGGGAGGATGTATTTATGCAGCTCGACCGAGCTCCGACGCGCAGAGTCGTTGACTCATTTACAGCAAACATTCATCCCGAAAACCCACGACCCAAGACGAGATCCCTGCAGGCTGCGAGCGCCCCTCCCGCCGCCGACGAGACCAACGTGTGCTCAGGTGGCACACGGCCGCTGTTCCACATCACACGCATTCCCGCTAATGAGAAACCGTCGTTCAGACACCGAAAATGAGCCTGAGCGTGTTTGCATTGCCAGAACGAGAATGCTCCCCGTTAGCACACAGCTGGGGGGGGGTCACCGATAGCAGGTCCCCTTCTGCTCGGCCCCTAATTGTTCTCCTCTGGGAATTAACTCCCAGGATTAAATGTCACGTCCTTTCTATGCAGCATATATCTATATATCCTGATGTTGCTCATAAATGCAAATTGTTGAACCCGCATTTACCAGCTCATGTTTGTCTTTGATCCCCTGCAATTGAGGGGTGAGAGTTTTTGGAGCCGCCTGTCAATCACAGTAGGCCCGCCCCGAAAGCATGCGCCCCATTTGTGGTGTGTTTGAGATGGAGAGCATGAATCACGAGTCGCTTGGACAGGAAGCTGCCGCCTTGGTTGCTCACATCGCACGGGCAGCGGTACTTTGCTTGTTTCCTCCGTGCCGTCAAAGAAGTTACTAAACTCCTTTATTGACTTTACTTTTGTAATCTGCATTGCCATATTCTGCATTTCGCCTCGGGACGGGTTCGGCTCAGATGTGACAATCGGACAGATCGCATCCGCGGGATTTGGGGGCGTAAGTCTGCGCGTTGAAACATTTGTCTCCGCGTCGGAGCGGCTAGAGAAGCAGGATCAGGGCCCTGATATTCCATCTAATCTCCGAGGCGCGGCAGACTAGCTCATATTAGCATTCCACCACCGTTGGGTTTTTGTGAACAGCTCTAAGTAGCAAATCTGCCTGTCGTCTGCCGAGTCGGCACCGTGTTGCATTGAGTTTGCACTTTAGCGGATGAACGCAGAGTGCAGAGCTTAATCGAGACGGATGAAGTTGTGACCCGCGGAGAGGAGCCGAGGTTTCGGGGGAAGGAACATCAGGTCGGATGGGTTCGTCCATCCGTCTGCGCTGCGGCGGGCGACTACTGGGGGAAAAAAAAAATTTGCTGACAAACATCTCAGCTGCATATTCTTCCTCCCACCCGCGGCGTTATTCATGCATTTAGATTGTTGTGTTGCACGTCGCACAGCGGCAGAGGCAGCGGAGGAGTGACACGTTGAACACTTCATATCGACGTCTCTCTCTCCAGAAATCCTGACACGGTGACTCTAAAGAAAGAAGTCGCAAAAGAAAAAGTGCAAGTCACTGCAACCAAAAATACCAGACCGTTGCACCCACACCCACACACACACACACACACACACACACAAAGCGCCTTCAAAACTACTCGCTGGTCAACGCGTCTGATTCGTTGGGCCATGAATGCACCTGACCTGAGCTGCACTGAGGTGATGAGACTAAACGACTGCGTTTCATAACAGCTTTTTTACATGTCATGCACGGATGCTGACGCTTGTGTTTGCTCAAATCACCGGGGTCAATCACCGCACCCCCCCCCACACACACACACAGCACTATACTTTGCAATGTGTCTCCGTCAGCTGCAGTGCCAGTCTGAGTCCTCCCTAATGGCTGCAAGTGTTTTTGCAGTTACACCGATCGCATTTATCCAAAGCGACGGGGGCGTTTTCACGAGAGCCACTGGGGGGGGGAGATCAGCTTATTCAGCTAACAGAGGGGAAGGAAAACACGCTGGCAGTCCTTCCACACTCCGTCTGTGGCTCCGCCTGCATCTCTCTCAGCCAAAGTAGGAGTGACATCGCGGAGCGGCCTCTCCGTTGTCTGGCTAATCAACACTCCCCCCCCCCCCCGGCGCCCTGAGCGGCCCCTCGGATCCCTCTGTGGCGTGAGAGCGGCACTCGAGCGACGGGGATTTTACATTTGAGATGTTGTGCTGGCA